GAAAGCTTGAATGTTTACACCCAGGAGAATCGGAAGCCTCTCTTTCCAGGAAGGAACCAGGTGTAAGATGAGCACTTGAAGAGAGGTGTTTGATGATCAGGGGAGAATCTCTTATCAGAACCAAGATCGGCTCTCAGAGAACTGATTAAGATTTGAGAAGAAACAGAAAAAAACCTGAGACTCCAAGAAATTTTTGATGACAGGTGTGGCTGAAACTTCCGGAGGTGATTGAGGATGGGGGGTGGGGTGGGGGAATCAGTGATGGTGAAGGAGAAAATATTCGAGGGTGGTCCAGGTCTGAGGTGAGGAAGCGGGCAGGCTGTCATGTGGCCGTGGATGAGACTGTTCTCGGGCTGTGTCAACCTTCCAGGACCGTTCAGCGGTATCTGTGATGCTGGGGACAGGGTGGCAGAAGGAACCAGCCCTTTCTGCTGCAGTTCGGCCCTGCTGTTGTTTGGTGGCAGAAATCTGCAGGAGTTGAGAGCCCCTCGGTCCTTCCAGACCATGGCTCTTCTTGGTTGTAGGTTTGTAGACAGCAGAAGCGCAGGTTGCAAAGTCATGCCGACTCCCCACCCCCCTGTTCTCTTTCTCTTCCTCTTCCCTCCCCACCCCTTGCCCCTGTAGAGTTCTCTTCCTGCTGCAGCCTGGGCCTTGAATTCCCAGCCTGCGGCATGTAGGAGCTGCAGTGTGCCAGCCATGGGAGGCCCACCTAGTACCTTCCCTCCACCATCCCCAGCTCCCTTGACTGCCCGGCTGGGGGGAGGGACACCATTACAGCAGAAGCCCCAGAGCAGACTCTGCCCTTTCCTGTCTGCGCCCTGGGCTCAGCAAGGAAGGTCATGCTGGTCACTTCAGTTGGGTTTTCCCTTGGAGGAGAGCTGAGCTGAGCAGTCAACTGTGACCGCTGGGCCAGGCTTTCCAAGAAGGGTCGTCCCTACACTGGCTGGGCCAGCCACTCAGTGTTGCGGAGCCCCGCCCTCTTTTCCCACCGTGTTATTGCTGCTAATGGTCAAGGTCAAATACATGGCCACATGGAATGGGCCAGGTCCTCTCAGGCTCCTTTGTGGATGTGATTTTTTTTTTTTAAAGAATGGAAACATGCAGGTGCCTTCCCGAGAGTCTTGGACTGGTGTCTCCAACCAGAAACAGATAAGCTAATCAGAGTGTGAACTCAAGAGGAGGGATGTCAGCGGTCCGTGTAACAGCTGGAAAACGTCCACGTACCGGCCTTTAGGACAACCCAGGGGATCAGAACTCGGGATCCCTGCTCTTTAAAACAACGTTCTCACCTTGGGTTGATAATGCAGTGTGTTGTGAAACTTGTGGAGCTAAAGCTTGGACTTGCTGGAGTCGAAGATGGATCATTTGATGTGGTTCCTGTGTATGTGATGACCCCTGTCAGTGACCTTCCAGCCTTCCTACCCCGAGCGTGAATTTGTAGCATGATTGTACAAATCTCTCTGTAGAAAATGGAGGTTTCTTGTTCTCTGAAGTGTTAAGCTCTAGCCAATCAGTTTCTGTTCCCTTTAGCCTAGTGTGTCTGAACTTAATTTCTTGCTATGTATTTAAACTTTTCCTCTGTATCATAGGTTTTGTGGCATCCCACGGTCAGGTGGAGAGGAAGCTGCCCCTTACAGAACTGTACTGTAACCATTTTTTAAAGAAACATTATTTTCACAGGACTGATTATACACAGGGCTTGTAAAAAAATTTTTAACACTGTGCTGTGAAATCACGATGGTAAATCTCCATTGAAGGCTACTTCAAAGGCACCTGAAAGTGGAGTGTTATATCTATGACTTTATTTCTTGCTTCCTAAGTATATTAAACCTAATTTTCACCCTTTCATTCTGTTTCAGCCTCCTGTATAAGAAGTACCGTATTTTCTGCCCATCATACTTTGTAATAAAACTTGAACATGTATAGATTGACTGAATTTCTTCTTGTGATAAATTCAGTTCTTCCCATTCTGCCATGGTGGTCATGTTCCAGAGACACCGGCCCGGGGATTAGACTCCATCTCAGCCCACCACACTGTCTGATGGCCTAACTCATCACCTGTAACAAAACACAGAGCACCTACTGCCTGCCAGGGGTTGCTTGCAGGGGACCGGAAGAGACATCCATGTAAACAAACACTGGCCATGTCCCGTGCAGTGATTCAGGTTCAGGGTTCCTGGTGGCCCTGCGGAGGAGAGGATCACCTGTGCCTGCGGGGGAGTCACAGGGGATCAGGGAAAACTTCATGAGACAAAGTTGCTTGAACTGGGGTTTGAAGACTGAGTTGGAGTTTTCTGGGTATAGAGAAAGGCACTTAAGGCAGAGAGAACATCCATGTACAGATCTAGAAAGGGTAGATTTCTCCCTCAGGCCAGTGGTTAAGACCTCACCTCCCTACCATTACACGCCAGTCAGGATGGCTGTTATTCAAAAGTCTACAAGCAATAAATGCTGGAGAGGGTGTGGAGAAAAGGGAACCCTCTTACACTGTTGGTGGGAATGCAATCTAGTACAGCCGCTATGGAAANCATGTCAATGGATGACAAAAACCACTACAATATTGTAAAGTAATTAGCCTCCAACTAATAAAAATAAATGGAAAAAAAAAAAAGACCTCACCTCCCAGTGCAGAGGATGCGGGTTCAGGGTTCAGTCCCTATTCGGGGAGCTAAGTTCTCGCATGCCTCCTGGCCAAAGAAAACAAAACATGACCCAGAAGCAATATTGTAGCAAATTCAAAAAGACTTTAAAAACTTGTCTACATCACCTGGAGAAGGAAATGGCAACCCACTCCAGTATTCTTACCTGGAAAAGTCCATGGACAGAGGAGTCTGGCGGGCTGAAGTCCATGGGATTACATGACTGAGCATGTGAGCACGAGGGTGGAGGGAGAAGGATTGGTAGCAATAAAGTGGTAGAACTAAAAAAAAAATAAAAAAATAAAAACTGTCTACATCAAAAAAATTTGCAGTTGCTGGAGGGAAGGGATGGTTAGGGAATTTGAGATAGTCATGTACACACTGCTGTATTTAAAATGGGTAACCAACAAGGACCTATCATAGAGCACATGGAACTCTGCCCAATGTTAGGTGGCAGCCTGGATGGGAGAAGGGTTTGGGGGAGAATGGATACATGTATCCACATACATCTATATGACTCAGTCCCTTCACTGTACATCTGCAACTATCACATTATTATTAATTGGCTATACCTCAATACAAAATAAAAAATTCAAAAAATAAAAACCTAAAAAGTCAATGTTAAGGTACAGACATGTATGAAGGGTTATGTGAAAATGCAGAGGAGGGCAGCTAAGCCCAAATGGAGAATTTGGAGAGTTTTCCTCTGGCAGGAAATAATGCCTGAGCTATAAATCTTGAAGGAAAGACAAAAGCTAGCCAGAAGTGAGGTTGAACAGCAAAGACACAGGTTTGTGCTTAATACAAGAACTGGGAGAAACAATCTGACATTTCTACATAAACTGCAAAGTACAGGGAAGAGAGGGCCCAGCCCCAAAGAGCTTCAATAAAAAGAGAAATAGAACAATTCATAAATGTACTATGGGCTTCCCTGAGAGCTCAGTTGGTAAGGAATCCACCTGCAATGCAGGAGACCCTGGTTTGATCCTCGGTCTGGAAGTTCCTCTGGAGAAGGGATAGGCAACCCATTCTAGTATTCTTGGGCTTCCCTTGTGGCTCAGCTGGTAAAGAATCTGCCTGCAGTGTGGGAGACCTGGGTTCGATCCCTGGGTTGGCAAGATCCCCTGGAAAAAGGAAAGGCTACCCACTCCAGTATTCTGGCCTGGAGAATTCCATGGACTGTATAGTCCATGGGGTAGCAAAGAGTCGGACACAACTGAGTGACTTTCACTTTCACATAAATATACTATTAATTAGAGCTAATAACTCAAGATCGCTTTACCTGAGGTGGTGACAGCTGAACTGGGTCTTGAAGCATGATAAAGATCTTACCAACAAGATAGTGACGTCACTCCAAGCAGAAAGGAGCAAAGAAGTGATAACTTCTATTCAGAGTACAGTGAGTAATGCCCTCCAACTTGACTCTAGTGTCGGGACACGAGACCAGAAAAATGAGTAGATCTGAGTTTATGGAGATTTTCTAGAATAATAACAAAGTCTATACCTGTGTATTTTATCCATTATCCCATTTAATCCTAGCAAGCCTATTCTGGCCTCCCTGATGACTCAGTGGTAAAGAATCTGCCAGCCAAATGCAGGAAACTTGGGTTCCATTCCTGGGTAGGGAAGATCCCCTGAAGAAAGTAATGGCAGACTTCTATAATATCCTTGCCTGGGAAATCCCATGGACAGAGGACCCTGGCGGGCTATATATAGTCCTCGCGGTGGCAAAAGAGTCAGACACAAACTTGAGACTAAACAATAACAAGGCTATTTACAGGTCAGGAAATTGAAATAAAGGAGCTTGCCCAAGGTTACACTAGTAATAAAACAACCGGGGTTTGAACCCACCAGTTCAAACCAGAGACCATAAGCTTAAGCTGTTTAACACACCAGATCCTTTGGATTTAACCTCACCAGCTTGGGGGCCACTGGGAAGTTGTTCACAGTTGCTGGCTTCGTTTCTTCTATACCTTCTCTTCCTAATGGCCTCGGTTTTTCCTTCTGGAAGAGCAGAGGGAAAACACAGAGGGGAATTTGGCTCTTGAAAATTCTTCTGATTTTTCTCCCTCTCCAGGATGGCAAGCATCAGTTACTTTTAGGGACTTTGTCAGTATGGTCATCTCTGCTATTTGCATAAGACTTTATTACTTCAAGGGCTTCCCTGGTGGCTCAGATGGTAAAGAATCCTTCTGCAATGCAGGAGACCCAGGTTTGATCCCTGGGTCGGGAAGATCCCCCTGGAGAAGAGAATGGCGACCCACTCCAGTATTCTTGCCTGGGAAATCCCATGGACAGAGGACCCTGGTGGGCTGTAGTCCATAGGGTCGCAAAGAGTCGGACATGACTGAGCTATTAACACTTTCACTTTATTACTTTAAAGCTCTAAGGGCTTACTTTGCGTTTTCAACCCTCCTACGTTGGTAAAGCAAGTAGTAGCATCCTTATTTACAGACAGTGAAGAGGAGGTTCAGAGAGACTAAATGACTGGGCAGATCACATCTCTGCCGGCGATTTCCTTACCTGTAAAGTGAAGTGACTGAACTACCTATCTCTTTGCAACTACAATACATTTATCATTCTAGACCTGCTCAGAGTTGGGAAGCCATTCTGAAGCAGAATCAGTTTCATAACTCAGATACATCTCTAGTAGAGACGTAAAGTCCGGCGTTCCCCAGGCAACCGAAGGGATTGAGCACAGGGTTGCCTCACGTAGGTCTGGGGTCTGCTCAGCGGCTACAGAAAAGCACGTACCAAGCGGCGGAACGGCTTTTGCGGGCGGTGGGGACGCGTTTTTGGAACGGACCAGGGAAAGGAAGTGTGTTACACCATCGATTGTACCCACTCCCGGCTGCTGCGGGGACGGTGCGGCGTCCTTGGCGTTCCGGCTGTCCTGGGCGGGCCTGAGCCTTAGGGTCTCCGGTGGCGGGCAAAGGAGGCTACAGGCTGTGGACGGGCTCGTTTCGGTGGCAGACTGGGAGGGTTGACCTTGGCCCAGGGTCGGAACCGATGGCGGCTCGGGCTGTTATCAGCTTGAGCAGCGCTGCTGCCCAGTGCTTGTGGGCGCGAGGCCCCGGGGTCCGTGTGGCTCTTAAGCGCTCCACCCTGGCCTTCCAGCCTGAGCCCCCGTTCTGCAGCACCGCTGGGGGCCGGACGCTGCACCTCACGGCCGAAGTCCCCGCGGGGCACAACAAGTGGTCCAAAGTCCGGCACATCAAGGGTCCCAAAGACGCGGAAAGGAGTCGCATCTTCTCCAAGCTCAGCTTGAGCATTCGCCTAGCGGTTAAAGGTGAGAACCTGGCGGTCACCCACCGCTGGCAGCTACCACCCTCACTGTGCCCACGCCCTCACTTGTCTCCCAACCCCCTGTCCCCGGCCTTTCATTTCAAATAAACTGAAAAGTCTTTCCCAAAATACTTACCCAGCTTTCATTCAAACATCGGATAAAGTGTCCTAAATGAACCGAAATCTAAGCGGTGACTTGTCTCTCTTGGCTGATGGAGGGGAGGGGAAGGCGTGAATGTCCCTTTTTTTTCTCTCTCATGTCTTATTGAGATGTCTCTGCTTACTCTCTTCTATCTCAGAAGGAGGCCCCAACCCTGAGCTCAACAGCAACCTGGCCAGCATCCTAGAGGTGTGTCGCAGCAAGCACATGCCCAAGTCAACAATTGAGGCAGCACTGAAAATGGAGGTGTGTCCTCGGTTTGACCTTCTTGTTATTGATCACAACCCCTACCGAGTACATGTTTGGAATGACACCACACTTTATTTTTATTTTTTTTTCACCACACTTTAAATTATCAGAGAAGCAGTGTTGTTGACACCCTCAACTTAGAGCCTTTTGGTGACTCTTGGCCATTAGTTACGGGAGCACAGTCAGGAATAGATGTATAGATGGTGTAACAGAACTGCAGCCTAAGACTATTGAGCTGAGTTGTGAGGAGCTGGGGGAAAAAGAAAGGGCAGAGTATGATGTTAGGTTGAGGAAGGGTTTGTTTTTCTGATATTGATGCCTTAAAGGAGAAAAACCAGTAGAAAGAGGGAAGGTGCAGATGATAATGATGGTGGGAGGGGCTGGGATGTAGAACTCAGGTGTGGAAATTATCTTCAAGTCCAGGTGAGGAGACACCTCTTCTCTGGGATGGGTGGGAAGGATTTGAGGAAGTCATAGTCATCTTAGTACAGTTATTGAGTGTCTACTCCAGGCCAAGCTCTTTTTATTTTTTTTCTGGCTGCATCGTGTGGCTTGTGAGATCTTAGTTCCCCAACCAGGGATGGAACCCATGCCCTCTGCAGTAGAAGCACAAGAGTAGAATCTTAATCACTAGACCACCAGGGAAGTCCGGAAGCCGAGTTCTTTGATAAAAACTTTGTATGCATAATTTCACTGAATCCTCGGAACAACCTTAAGTTGGAAACTGAGGCACAGAAAGATTAGGCGACTTGACCAAGTCACACAGAAAATGACAGACTGGGAACTGGACAGACCCCAAAGCCTGTTTTCGAACCATCCTGCACACCACCTTCATATCAGGTGTGTGCAGATGAGGCACACACCTTTCCCCCACCTGGTGGTCCTTTATCTCCTTTGTGAAAGAGGGAGAGAGAAGTCAACAGTTGAGTGTTCCTGGGAAGACGCAGGGCAAGGGGACCGAGAGAGAGAGGTGAAGATAGGGTGCATGGGCATGGAGTGGACAGAGGCAGCGTGGGATGTCCCTGTGAGGCTGTTCGCTGGAGCTTTTGATTGTTTGAATTTTGAGGCCATGCTGTTTGATGAGGCCCAGGTGTGTGATTTCTCTGAGCCGTTCTCAGCAGCCCAGGGGTAGACTCCCAGGGGTTTCATGCAGGATAAGGTATACGAGGGTGAGTTTTAGTAGGAGTGATGAAGGAGTGGATGTGGGATTCAGCTGGGAAGGGGAGGAACCAAAACTGGGAGATGAGTGATTGATTGTTCAGGGACAAGAGAAACAGACTGCCTTCCAAGGAAGGGGTAGGACTTCCAGTTACCTCAAACGTTGATCCCAAGAGCCTCCTCTCAGAGAGGGAGGACAGAATTAGAGCCTTAAGAGCCTAGGCTTCACTCCTTGGCAGCTACCACCCTCACTGTGCCCACGCCCTCACTTGTCTCCCAACCCCCTGTCCCCGGCCTTTCATTTCAAATAAACTGAAAAGTCTTTCCCAAAATACTTACCCAGCTTTCATTCAAACATCGGATAAAGTGTCCTAAATGAACCGAAATCTAAGCGGTGACTTGTCTCTCTTGGCTGATGGAGGGGAGGGGAAGGCGTGAATGTCCCTTTTTTTTTCTCTCATGTCTTATTGAGATGTCTCTGCTTACTCTCTTCTATCTCAGAAGGAGGCCCCAACCCTGAGCTCAACAGCAACCTGGCCAGCATCCTAGAGGTGTGTCGCAGCAAGCACATGCCCAAGTCAACAATTGAGGCAGCACTGAAAATGGAGGTGTGTCCTCGGTTTGACCTTCTTGTTATTGATCACAACCCCTACCGAGTACATGTTTGGAATGACACCACACTTTATTTTTATTTTTTTTTCACCACACTTTAAATTATCAGAGAAGCAGTGTTGTTGACACCCTCAACTTAGAGCCTTTTGGTGACTCTTGGCCATTAGTTACGGGAGCACAGTCAGGAATAGATGTATAGATGGTGTACAGAACTGCAGCCTAAGACTATTGAGCTGAGTTGTGAGGAGCTGGGGGAAAAAGAAAGGGCAGAGTATGATGTTAGGTTGAGGAAGGGTTTGTTTTTCTGATATTGATGCCTTAAAGGAGAAAAACCAGTAGAAAGTGGGAAGGTGCAGATGATAATGATGGTGGGAGGGGCTGGGATGTAGAACTCAGGTGTGGAAATTATCTTCAAGTCCAGGTGAGGAGACACCTCTTCTCTGGGATGGGTGGGAAGGATTTGAGGAAGTCGTAGTCATCTTAGTACAGTTATTGAGTGTCTACTCCAGGCCAAGCTCTTTTTATTTTTTTTCTGGCTGCATCGTGTGGCTTGTGAGATCTTAGTTCCCCAACCAGGGATGGAACCCATGCCCTCTGCAGTAGAAGCACAAGAGTAGAATCTTAATCACTAGACCACCAGGGAAGTCCGGAAGCCGAGTTCTTTGATAAAAACTTTGTATGCATAATTTCACTGAATCCTCGGAACAACCTTAAGTTGGAAACTGAGGCACAGAAAGATTAGGCGACTTGACCAAGTCACACAGAAAATGACAGACTGGGAACTGGACAGACCCCAAAGCCTGTTTTCGAACCATCCTGCACACCACCTTCATATCAGGTGTGTGCAGATGAGGCACACACCTTTCCCCCACCTGGTGGTCCTTTATCTCCTTTGTGAAAGAGGGAGAGAGAAGTCAACAGTTGAGTGTTCCTGGGAAGACGCAGGGCAAGGGGACCGAGAGAGAGAGGTGAAGATAGGGTGCATGGGCATGGAGTGGACAGAGGCAGCGTGGGATGTCCCTGTGAGGCTGTTCGCTGGAGCTTTTGATTGTTTGAATTTTGAGGCCATGCTGTTTGATGAGGCCCAGGTGTGTGATTTCTCTGAGCCGTTCTCAGCAGCCCAGGGGTAGACTCCCAGGGGTTTCATGCAGGATAAGGTATACGAGGGTGAGTTTTAGTAGGAGTGATGAAGGAGTGGATGTGGGATTCAGTTGGGAAGGGGAGGAACCAAAACTGGGAGATGAGTGATTGATTGTTCAGGGACAAGAGAAACAGACTGCCTTCCAAGGAAGGGGTAGGACTTCCAGTTACCTCAAACGTTGATCCCAAGAGCCTCCTCTCAGAGAGGGAGGACAGAATTAGAGCCTTAAGAGCCTAGGCTTCACTCCCTTCACTCCAGCTTTGTCCTGTTATCTCCATGGAGTCAACTTTGTGGTGTTTGTGGTGCCTGGGCTGGCATGGAGAAGGGAATTAGGAAACAGGAAAATGTGTTTGTGTTATCTATTGCAGAAAACCAAGGACATTTATTTGTTGTATGAGTGCCGAGGCCCCGGTGGCTCTTCTCTTCTCATCGAGGCATTATCTAACAGTAGCTCCAAGTGCCACTCGGACATCAAACACATCCTGAACAAGAATGGGTAGGTGTGTGTCTGGGGAGAGTGGAAGGGGGCAGAGTCTCTAGGTTCTGATTTGGGGCGAGGTAAGTACTGTAGTTTCTGGTGGGGTTTCAGGTTTTACACACGTGTCATCCTTAGCAGAACCTACGTGGGATCGTTTGTTCTTCTTTGATGTGTCCTGTAGTGGGCAGGGCCCGAAGGACAGGTGGAGAGGAGTGCTGTGTCCCATTGTCTCATGTGTCCCCAGGATGTTTGGGTCTTAAAATATCCTGCCAGCAGTGTACTCTCAGTTGGACAGGAATTGATGAGCAAAGTCTTGGCAGCCTCCAAACTCCAGTCGGGGCAGAAAACAGAGGGTTGGGGACTTCCCCTGGTGGTCCAGTGGCTAAGACTCCACGCTCCTCATGTAGGGGGCCTGGGTTCGATCCCTAGAGGAGCTAGATCCCACGTGTCACCACTAAAAGGTCCAGCATGCTGCAACTAAGACCTGGGCAGCCAAATTAATCAATCAAAATAAAACAAAGGGTTAGTGTTATGTTCAGATTATTCCCTTGCCCAGAGGTAGCCGCATCTTCTTCAGGAAGAGAGCTGCTCCCTGTCTATTTATACTCCGGGGGTGGGGTGGGAATGAGTGCTGGGCAGTGCTATGTGGAGGCTGAGTGTGTAAAGGCATCCATTCTGGCCCATTTCCTCACCTGTTAGGGGAATGATGGCCGAAGGAGCTCGCCACTCCTTTGACAGAAAGGGGGTGATTGTGGTTGGAGAGGAGGACAGAGAGAAGAAACCTGTGAACCTAGAGCGTGCCCTGGAGCTGGCAATAGAAGCAGGAGCTGAGGATGTCAAGGAGACTGAAGACGAAGAGGAAAAGAACATTTTTAAAGTGAGTAAGAAGCCTTGGTGTCTGGTGGACTGCCGAGAGGGCCCTGATAGACACGTTAAGTATTCTTCTCTCAGTCTCTTCTGTCCTGTGCCCGGGGGACAGGTGAGATAAAGAGCTCACATTTTACACAGACAGTTTATTAAGTGAATACTGGATAGGACTTCCTCTCCTGAGGACAATGAGAAGGATTCAGGGTGTTGAACACTCTGTTTCTGCCAGCGAAGACTTAAACCCAGTGACACATTTCAGGAATTCCATGCAGGTGTTTGCAAACTTCTGTCCAGCTTTGTCCTGTTATCTCCTGGCTCCTTACCGCCTGACTTTCCTTTGTCCCTAGTTTATTTGTGATGCCTCTTCACTGCATCAAGTGAGGAAGAAACTGGACTCTCTGGGCCTGTGTTCTGTGTCCTGTACATTAGAGTTCATCCCCAACACAAAGGTGCAGCTGGCTGACCCCGACCTGGAGCAGGCTGCCTATCTCATCCAGGCGCTCGGCAACCACGACGACGTGATCCATGTCTATGACAACATTGAGTAGCCAGACTGTACATGCCTCCAGGTGGCCTATTCTAGAGCACAAGCTTCTGCAGTGTCCCCTGGGACTCAGGGGGGGGTGGGGGTTCCTAGCAGGTTAGCAAGCATAGACCTGCAGCTTTGTGGTCAGCTGAATCCCTGCACATCCATGAAGCCTCTTTGTCAGTTCTGATGGTGTCTGAGCCCTCCTGGGTGAGTCCCTCACATCCTTCTCGATGCGGGGGAAGTGGCCATTCAGCTGGTCAAGTTCTGATCTCAGGAATCTGGCCCTTGGGACAGTAGGTGCTCTGAAGGCCCATGTACTAGAAACTACTCTTCAGTAATAACAGTCATTATTGACCTGAATAGCTGGCTTGCTATTGTGTGACTTGAGTTTTCCTGGGTTTGTGTCCAGTTGGTGGGACCCTCTTGACTTTCTTTTAAGTCTCTAGGCTTAGTTCCACTACTCCAGTCCCAAGACTGTATTTTTTTGATTGACCATAGAAACGTGACTCCCTCCAGGTGCTTTTGTGTTCTAGTGCTGGTCTAATGGCCTAAATCTGTCATTCTTTCACATACCTAATATCAATCAAACACCTACTGTGTACCAGGAACTGTACTTACAACCTGTTCAATTGATGCCCTATGCTGGATCTGCTCTAAGACATTGGACCTCAGGGAGAAGACACAGGATCTCTCTCTCCTGGAGCTGTCCGAGGGCAATGTGAACTGCTGTGCCCGCATCCTTGTTCTCTTCCTGTGGCCTCTGTATCCTTCTGCCAGAGAGCTTAAGGCTCTAGCCCAAAGGGTGCCAATGTAAGGGACTCCCAGGCCCTGCTTTGTCCAGGTCCGTCTGTGTTCTGAGTGCTTTCACTCCAGAGTGAACCTATCAGTGGGCTGCACTCAGGAAAAGAAACACCAAGTTGGTTTTGAAAGCTGCCTGATGCCCAGAATGTCCAACTCTGGCCCCTCTTAATCCCTGATGCCAGTTGGATGATGGGGCACTGGGAACTGAAAAGGAAATGAGAACAGAAAGAAGGGTGAAGAGCTGAGTCAGGAGCCTGGCCAGATGGGAAATAGGAGCCATGGTGCCTTTTGCTCCTAAGAATCACTTCTAAGTTTAGAGACACCAGGAGTGCCAACCACCTGTGCTGGAGCCCGTCAAATATGTGGGGTCTGGAGTGGCTTTTTGATCCCTGTTATTCACCTCCTTATAAGTTGGTTAAGGCAGTTCTGAGCTCAGTGTAATTTTCCTAAAGGAGCCTTAGGTAAATTAGGATGGAAAAGAACTAAAACCAAATTGGCTCTTAAATGATAGCTTCACTTTCTAGCAAAAATAGATTACTAATTCCATGATGACTTCAGCTGGAGAGTGAAGCCTGCGGGAAGAAAATCAATTAAATAACCCATTATGGTGCCAAAGCATGTGCTCTTATACCTCGTTTCATAATGGTGGTACTACCTGGGATTTTTAGTTTTTATAGGAGATAACTCATCTAAATATCTGAATAGCATATCATTAAAACAGGGCAACATAAATGCCACTTCCTAATTTATAAGATACTTTAATATTTTATTTATTCGACTTTCAAAACAAACCTATAAAATAGTCAGGTCAAGTATTTTATGCACAGATGATCTCATACCAAGCAGTTGAAAACTCCGTCTTGCGTTCATAGACCTTGATTTATAAAATAGCTCTATTTTGTGAATGTTGAATATAGACTAATTTGGAGAAATGTGATCATTTCTGACATGAGTAATCTTGTACTAAGGAAGCCTGCTCGAGAAGGGAACTTGGTTACCCATGTGGATAGTCCTCTGATCTAATACATAGGATTTGTTACTGCGAGTTCTCCTGTAAACTGGTTTGTTTGCATCAAGACATCCTAGACAGCTCTGCACTGACCTCTGGCGGTGCCCTGCAGTCTTCCTGCAGTTAATATGGAAAAGGCAGAAGTGAAAGCTTACTCAGAAAGTTCTGACTCTAGATCTGATAAAGAGATCCTTAGCTACCTAGGTTAAATAGTTAAATAGCTATTTAACTGAAAATTTAAGTGAAGATGGTATGAGCTGTTTTGCCACTAGAAATTATTTTTTAAAGACTATGTCAGAGAAAACATTTACTATATAATGTTAAATGAAAAACAAAGATTAAAAACTGTGTGTTTAGTGTGGTCCAGATTTTAAAATATTTATGATGCTGTATATATGAAATTTTAAGAAAAGACTAGAAAGAAGTATATCAGAATAGCAAAACTGATTATCTCTGGGTGGTGATATTATAACTGAGTTTTATTTTCATGTATTACATTTATTAGGGAAGCATTTTTTAGAAAGAAGAAAACTAGTCACGTTATCCTCCTCCTAAGGAGACAACATGTGAGCACCTGGGATTCAAGTGCACCTTGAAGTCAAAAGAATGGGGTCTGGTCCTGGCTTGCCTTATCTTTGGTTAGTGTCTTAACAACAAAATCATTTAGCACCTTGAGCTGGCTTGGGCTCACTTTCAAGTGTCCTTTCAGTGGGGTGGAAGTATCAGTGACAGCCTTTGTCCGCAGCCTTGACTCTCACTGGGAAACGCTCATGTAGTATGTAGCTGCCGCACCTCTGCCGGGGGCCCCAGCTGAATCAGACTGGAACAGCGAAGACTCTGCCTCCAGCTAACCATGGAAATGCAGTCCTCTGGTTACTTTTTTTTTTTCTCTTGAAAACATATAACATAGATGTCATAGAGTTGTCTTGAGAACTGTTAAATAAGTTAATATATGCTAAGCACTTAAAACAGTGCCTGGCAGTAGTAAGTATTCAATATATGTTGGCCTTTTTTCCCACTAAGTATGAATGAACATTTTTTTTAAGCATTTTTTATTTTATATTGGACTAGAGTCAATTAACAATATTGTGATAGTTTCAGGTGTACAACAAAGCAACTCAGCCATCCATATACATGTATCCTGAATGAACATTTTTAAAAATTGAAACATGACCACCCTATATATATCTGCTTTGTAACCTGTCCCCCACCCTCTCCTTCCCCTTCATCCTAGATGCCTTTTGGTATTGGGATGGAGAAGTCTACTTCTTTCTTTTTAGTGGCTACATAGTATTTTATTATTATTAATTAATTTTATTTTTAATTAATGTGTCATAATTTATTTTATTTAATTAGTCTCTATCAATGGATATTTTGATTGTTTATCTTACAGAAGATGCTACAATGAATACTTTTTACCTTTGCTCTCTAGCAAAGTATTCTTCACGATAAATTTATAGAAGTGGAATTACAAAATGCAAAGCAGTTTTTCTTTAGACGTAAATGTCAATATGTAAAAATGTAAAGATGTAAAGATCTATTTACCTCCTTCCTTAACAAAGCAGAGAACCTAACTGATTGAACTGGTGATCTGAATATATTCTATGTTACCTCTGAATTAAAAGAATTTTCATCAAATCAGGTGATAGGTTTTTTGGTTTGTTTCCCTGTTTTACACCAAAATCATTGAGCTATCCCTTCAGAGAATTTCAGTTCAGTTCAGTCGCTCAGTCGTGTTCAACTCTGCGACCCCATGAATCTCAGCACTCCAGGCCTCCCTGTCCATCACCAACTCCATCACTGGAGTTTACTCAAACTCATGCCCATCGAGTCAGTGATGCCATCCAGCCATCTCATCCTCTGTCATCCCCTTCTCCTCCTGCCCCCAATCCCTCCCAGCATCAGGGTCTTTTCCAATGAGTCAACTCTTGGCATGAGGTGGCCAAAGTATTGGAATTTCAGCTTCAGCATCAGTCCTTCCAATGAATACCCAGAACTGATCTCCTTTAGGATGGACTGGTTGGATCTCCTTGCAGTCCAAGGGACTCTCAAGAGTGTTCTCCAACACCACAGTTCAAAAGCATCAATTTTTTGGTGCTCAGCTTTCTTCAGAGAATTTATTCATTGGTATTTGTTGTTCCCTGTCATGTGTCCTGTGCTCTTGAAAAATGAAAAGAAATGTGTGCAGCTGGTGTGTGAGTGACTGCTTAATGGGACCAGTACCCTGAGGCCCTGAGCTCTAGGGTTAGGTCATGAATCTTGAGGTCAGGGATGACTCAGGTGCTTAAACAGAAGCACGTACTCAGTGTAAAACTAGGGTGATAGACCTGAGAAGGCCTGGCCCAGTTGGGAGGCTTCACATGGGGAAGATGAAGGGGGAGGAGAGAAACAACGTAGAAAGGGAAGATAAAATACAGAACTAAAGGAAATAACAACAGTTAGCAACATCCCCATCAGAGGTTCACTTATTCATTCAACAAATATTTGTTTTTTGAATGTGCCATGAAAGATGGTAGGCCATCTTTTTTGAATGACACAGCTTCAAATTTTTTTTTTTTTTTTTTAGAGGATAGTACACTCCTGAGACATGGGAACGGGCCAACCCCGAAGGAGAGGCCCAACTTCTGTCTTTATGCTTACTTTCTTAAAGGCAGTTACAGTAGAGTAAGGCAAGTGTTTGATGAATAAAGTACTAGGTGCTCTGGTGCCCAGATTTAGGGCTTTCTGCCTGGAAAGGCTTCCTGAAGGGAGCAATGTTTAGGCTTACTTCTTCCCTGAAAGAATGAGGGTGGGGGCAAGAATGGAGGAGAGGAGTGTTCAAGATAGTGAATATGCAAAGGTTAGAGGCAAGAGAGGGTCATATTTGAGGAACTACCAGTGGTAGTTCAGAACAGAGAATTTGAATGATGGGGTTGTTGGAGGTGGGAAATGGAAAAACTTATGGTTGGAGAAGGAATGGTTTCAGGTCCTTCTTAACTACATTGATGTATTCGACTTTTCCTAAGGGTGATGGGGACTGTAAAATCTTTCAGGAGATCATGGCAGGATCAGGGATCCATTTTAAAAGGTCACCCTGTGATGGGAGTGATCTTGAGAAGCTGTTACACTAAATACTCCAAGTAGTAGACTTGGGAGGTTTGAACTAGGATGGTGGAGCTGGGACAGGGAGAGGAGTGGACAGATTGGAGACATGGTCAGGATTAGCTGTGGGGGAAGGGAAATGGAGAGGACGATCTCTTCAAGTTTGATAACTCAAAAGCATCCAAGTTGGGGAACCTATGATGGAGAGAGCAAATGAGAACCACGGAGGAAAACAATCAGATCAGTTTGGACCTGTGGAATTTGAAGTACCTGCAGAATACTCAGTGGGTGATGCCTCTGAAGTTCAGAAGAAAGCCCAGTAGGATGGCCGCAGCGTGGGGATGTTTGAGATGGCTGGTTCAGTGACAGATAATGGAAATGGAGTCCTCAAAAAAAGCAGTTGCTAGGAATGTAGAGGAAAAATCAGGAGACTCTTTCCAGCTAAAGACTTACATTGCTGTATTGCATGTTCTACTATGTGCGAGGCACTGTTCTAAGTGTTGGTGACAGGGCAGTGAACGGGACATAGTCCCTGCTTCTACATGGCTTATGTTCATTGTAGTCGGGGGAAACAGTGTATAATTTCAGGCTCTACGAAGAAAAATAAGGCAGCATATGGAAATATAAAATGTTGGAGGGGAGAGGGCCTATTTTGGATGGTGTGGTTAGGCACTTTAAAGAGCTGACATTTGTGCAGACCTGAATGAAATGGAGGAATTAGCTGTGGGAAGAGCATTCTAGGTGAAACGAAGGGCAAGGGCAAAGGTCCTGAGCCTGGTAAGCTCAAACTGTGGAAAGAAGGCCAGTGTGGCTGGAGTGATTGAGGGAGCTGGAGAGGTGAGGTGGGAGAGGATGGCGGGGGCCAACTCCTGTTGGGCCCCTATGGCCATGACAGAGTTTGAGTCTATTCTGTGTGTTGATGGGAAGCCCTCAGAGGGTTGAGAGCAGGGAGTGACATGATGTTAATTACATTTTACAAGGATCACTTTGGCTGCTGTGTGGAGCATCATTTGTTAGGTGGTCGCAGAGGAAACAGGAAACCAGTTAGGAGGCCAGGGCAGTCACCCAGTACGTAGGGTGGTGGCTTGCACCAGGGTGGAAGTGGTGAGAAGTAGTTGGATTCAGATACATTTTTAAAGGAAAGCTGAAAAGACTTGCTCGATGATTGGATAGAGGAATGTTAGAGAAAGAGTGAAATGAAGGAAGATGCCTCCTCGGTGTGTATTTTTATGACTGGGAAAACAGAGGAGCAAGGTTTTGTGGGGAAGGGGGAAAGAATCAAGAATTCAGTGTAAAACATGTTAAACTGGAGTTGTATTTTAGACATTCCAAGAGATGCTGCTGAATACAGGTAGATATTCCTAAATCTAAGAGGTGGATTTAAAGAAAAAGGTCTAAAGTAATTCTTAAGAGATTTGATACCCGAGGCAAAGCCACCACTAAAGGTTCTTAGTTGACAGTTGAAAGCGACATCAGAGGAAGATGTTTTGGCGTTTATCGTACACTGAAGGAAGGGAGCCTGAGGAAGGGAGCCCGGATTGTGGCGGCCTTGGAATCTTAAGATGGAGGTGTATAACATGCTGAACAGTGGAGGCTGGGAAAATTAATTATGGTCATCTCTATTTTGAAATGTCATGCAGTCAAGCACAATTGTTTTGGGACAATATTAAGTGGCACGGGAAAACAGGATAAAATTTAAGCACACTACAAAACAATATGAAGCCGTTTTTATCAAGCGCTGTATATTTATGTAGGAAAGAGACAAAATATCTCTGGGGTGAAATTTTTATTTTTTTCGATTTTAATACACAGAGCTTGTGTTGCTTTTACGACCAGAAAAAATGTTTTCTTCCCGAAAGAACCTCACTTAATGGTTTCGGCCCTGGCCAGCAGATTCCTAGGACCCACTTCCCGGCATTACCCCAGCCCCTTGGCGTGTGTGGCTGTTGAGACCCAGGAAAAGGCAGGCAGTGGTAAACCGCTCCTGCCTCCCGGCAAGCGCAGCCTCTGAACCGGAGGACTTGCTTGGGGGTCCGGCGGCAGAGGTGGCCACACGCCGGGAAGCGCTCAGAGCCAGAACCTTCCCCCGCTTATTACGCGCTGTGGGGACACGGAGGGGCAGGACGTCAGCCTCAGGAACCGCGGGGAGCTGGAAGGGCGGGAGGCAATGGGGCCCCTCCGAACGTCTTCCTAAACTCCAGCCCCAAAGTAGCCGGCGGGGAACCGCGCCAGCCCGCGCGCCAGCCGAGACTTGGGTGACTGACAGGAGGTGGTGATGTGGGCGGAGCCTCAAGCGCAAGCTGTGATTGGAAAAACCCACACCTCCCAGGGAGAGAGGGCGGGCAAGTCTGCGAGGGATGCGCAGAGGAGGGTGCTCAGAGGAAGGTGCTACGTGATTGGCTAGCAGCAGAGTGAACCGGGAGCTGTTCCGATGATTGGCAGAGGGTAGACAACCCTCCGAAACTGCTTTGGCTTCGCCTATTCGCATCCTGCGAGAGTAGGCGGGATTGGTTCATCAAGGGGTGCCGTTGATTAGCTGGCGGCTGAGAGTTAGGGTGTTGGAGAGAGGTGGGGAGGAGGGGCGGTGGGGGCAGCGATTTACTCCTTGTTATTGGCTGGTGAAGTGAGTGAGGGGTGGCACCAAGGGCCAGCGGCTGGCTAGGATTGGCGGGTGCTGGGATGAGTGACAGACAGGGGGGCGAGCTGCGCGACCAGCGGTTTGTTTTTCGGAGCGTTCCTGAGGTGGAGAACGGCGGCCGGACGGAACGACTTCGGGACTGAGGGACTGGCGGTCGGGCGGGCCGAGAGGCGCCGCCGAGGCCGGGCTGGGCCGAGCCGAGGAGCTCCGGGGATGTAGCGGGCCACCCTGCCCATGCCACAGCGCCCGGCTGCGGGCGGAGCCGGAGCCGGAGCCTGGGGAGGCGGCGGGGGCCCGGAGCACAGCCCGCGCCCCCCGCGCGGAGCCAGGCCCGCTGCCGTCCCCGCCGCCCGGGCCCCCGGCATGCAGCTCCGGCTGCGGAGGTGACACTCGGGCCGGAGCCGCCGCCGCCGCCATCGCCACCATGGGTGAGTGTCGCCACCGCCCCGGCCTGTGCCCGCGCTGCTTCGCGTCGCCCCGCCCCGGGCTGAGGGGAGGAGGACCCTGGGCCGCCGCCTGACAGGCATGGACAGCCCGCCCGGCCGGGGCTGCGGACCGCCGGCGCCCGCCCGCCCCGCTCGCGGCTTAGCGGCTCCGCGGCCCGGGCGGGGGTTCTGGCTCCCCCGGCCTTCAAGGGCGGCCCCGACCCGCTGAGCCCACTCGGCCGCTTCTTTCCGGGCCGCGAGGCCAGCACATCCCGAGGAAGCGGCGGCGGGTCGAGGGCCCGTGCTCGGCGGAGCTAGGCTCTCCGGGCCGAGCGAGCGGGACCCCGAGCCCGAGGGCGGGGGAGCGCGAGCGCAGTGTGGGGCCCGGGCTGGAGGCTGGTGCAGGCCTAGCTCTGTTGTGTCTTTTCCTTGATTTGCTTTTTTTTCCTGCCTGTGTCATTTCCTTCCCTTTGCTCACACAGACCGGCCTGCGAGAGCTCCCGGGGCTTGCTCTCGAGCCCTGTGCGCGCCCCAGAGCAGGGGGGAGGGCGTGCGGGGAGACGGGCTGGGAGGCGATTAAAATGGCAATCACTGTTATCAACCGCGCGGTTGAGAAATGCGAGCTGCTCGCAGATTGCTGGAGTTTAGGAATCGGCTGCCAGTGATAATACACATCCTACTTTTTGAAAAATCTCCTTGCAGTGTTTTACATCCATTAGTTTAATCTAGCGGTCTCCCTGAAATTATGTAACTTTTGAAAGAGAGAAACATTCACTACACAAAAGAATCTCTGTGAAATCATTTCCTTTTTAATCGATAGTTGCAATTTCTGTTGTGAAGATGTAGTCTAAGGAACGCTTTTAATGTCTTCCACACGCAGCATTTGAACTGAATTATATATTTCATGTCCTTTGTGGTAATTTAGCAGACAACTATTGGACTACATTAAGTAGCAATAACATGTTCGATGTACTGTGCTTCTCTTACTGGATCAGTTATTTTGATACGGTTGTCTGCAGTGGCAAGTTTTGCGAAGTATTTGGTATTGTCCTAATTAATCAAGGGGTAAACCAGTAAAGGGATCATTCGCACAGCCACTGATTCCATCTGCGAAGAGGGAACATTAATGTTTGCTTTGCCCTATGGCAAGGTCAAGTCGTTTTTGTGGGAGGTTAAGTTTGCTGTGTCACATTGGGCAGTTAATCTTTTGTGGCCCATCTTTACACTCTGGCTTTGAATGAGTCGCCTTGTTCTGTTCCGTGCTGCCCCTCTACAGTAAGGAGTGGGTTCCTTCATTTATTGGGCTGTTTCCTTCCCATGCTTTATTTCAGAAGTGCTTGCTTTTCTGGGCAAAGTCGTGACAGTAAGCAGAAAAGGAACTCAGTGAGGCCTGGTATTTATTGAATAAATATGTAATTCAGCAAGTACTCGTTGAGCATTTACTGTAAATGGGGAACATAATTATTCTCGTCCTCCCCAGGTTTCACATATTTATCTTGTGCTCTGGAATTTGATGATCACACTAAATCTTTGAATTGATTTGTGAACCTACATTTGTGATAATTTTTATAATCAGTCTTTCCTGTTTATACTGTGGGGACAGGCTTAAATCCCAAAGGGGAGTGTGAATACTCGAGGGTGTGCAGACCTCCTATTTTCCACTTTCTTGACTGCTAAATTAGTGTCCAGGTGTGTTGACTACATTTCGTGCCTAATGATAAAATAGAGGTCAGCCTGTTTTCGCATTTCAAGATCATTTCAAAAAGTTTAAATGTGTGAGTATATGGAGAGACAATGATGGGGAGGAAAGGAACTATGTAGATAGGGTCCAGAGCCCCAAAGGAAAAAGGACCCAAAACTCAATATCTTCTCATTTGTTCCCACGTCAGTTTTTACATGAAGAAAGTGAGACAGAGAGGGGAAAATTAACTTGCCTGGTGGCTGCAGTATATTAATCGGCAGACAAGTTTATTTAAGAATCCCTGCCTGGCTTTCTTCAGCACTCTTCCCTCATACCATTCTCACTTTCTTTTAAGTAGATGACCTTGACATGCGCTTAGAACTAGTACTGGATTCTCTTAGAACCTGACCTTCAGTTTGCTTTGTATAGAGCTTAGCAAGAGTGTCTGTACAAACATATACACACGGAGTCTCTCTCCTAAGTACTCGTTTCCATTTTGGTGATATAAACGATGAAAAGTCAGATTCCCAGGTTAGCATGCGTTAGTTGATGTATGTAGTCCTAAATAAGTTCAAGGGGTAATAAGGGAGAAACATAGACTTGTTAATATTTTTATTATACTTGTTAAACTCCAGCCCAGTGAGGAAAGGACTAAAACTAATTTGAGTCCTTGGCTTTCAGGTTCCTTGGTTAACAGTCATATTTTCCTGAGCTGTTCTAAGCCCCAGACTCAAGCTTGTTTGACAGCTTGGGTTGGTAATGAAAACAGGTCAGATTTTATATTGGCAGTTAGCCCCAGTAACTTTCTAGTGGAAATTACACTTACCCTTGTAAATAATAGGAAATACTCTTTTTGTTTGTTTTTGGCCTTTTTTTTTTTTTTTTTTGGCTTTGATATTATGTGGTTATAAAAAAACTGGAAATTGACTGGTCGTTTTTTCTTGGTCACACCAAAATTCCCTCCTGGTTTTAGTAATTATAGTGGCAAATGCTGCTAATTACACCTAAGATTAATTTGCTAGTGCTTACTTGGGACATGCTCTATAAATGCAATCTAAAATTTGGTGGGAAGTATTAACTGAAAAATATGTAACAACTTGGAAACATTACAGGAACGGGAACTGAGTGTAGGATTTAGGATGGTGTGGTTCTGGTTTGATAACTTGGTTTGAAGTCAGAATTGTTTCAAGGCTGTTGGAAGCTCCCATTTAGACCAGTCTCAGTTCAGTTTGGCTAGAATCTGACTGCCTGTGTAGATCTAAATAGTTGGCAACTGTTTTTTAATTGAAATTGGGATCGTAGATTAATGACTCAACATGGCTATGTCACAGCTAGACTTCTGATGTTTTACAAAATTATGGTTGGCTTTAAAACTGAATTTTAGGCATTTATAAAAAGTAAGTATCAGCCCAACTGAGCATGATTTAGTGAAATACATAGAGGATAAGAAGCAGTTTTCTTGGTTCTGACTATCTAAGCTATCCATTTTTCCTTTGCCCCTTTTATTGAACATCTCTTCTGTGTCAGATACAGTACATGTCCCTGTACATGTATTTATCCTGCATTTAAGAAGTTGTAGTTAGGTAAGGTGAACCAGAAACAGTAAACAAGTAGTGTTATAGATGCCTTGTCAAAACTGTAAAGATACATTGGATGGAGAGATCAATTCTGTAAGTTTTGAGATTGACATACATTATCTATAGTCCTCAGGCCTCAAAGGTTAATTTCATTAACTTAAAATAAAATATGATGCTGATATATGGATTCTTATGAGGAAGCAATAGCTTACTTTGTAATATGTATTTTTAAATTTTGAGTTATTAACTAATACTGAAGGACTGTTATATCACAGAAACAGAAAAATAAACCCCAGAATTTGACTTTGCGACCTAGCAAAGTTTTCAACCAGGGCCTTGAAGGAAAAAGGAAAAATGTTTGCTGTGAATTGAGGATCAGACCTTTTTGCTTATACTTATTATACTAGGAGATGATGTTTGCCCAGATGGACAGGGTGGAGGAGAACCGTGCTGTAACATGTCATGGACAGTAAGGTAGTAAAATCAGACTCACAGACACTGAAGCACAGGATCTCCTGATTGAGCAGTGTGATCAGATGATCTGACAAAAGTTGGGTAGAGTAGAGCATTGTCAAGATGAAGAAATCATTGAAATGAAAACAGAGATTAAATTTGGGAGTTGTATGTATGGGAAAAAGAGTGTCTGGCATCATGCAGGACAACAGTGTTTATCCAACAACATGTTGCTTCTGGAAACTTTTCTGGGGTTTTAGCCAAGGGAATTCATAAGTGGGAGTGCCTTAAGACCCTGCTTTTAGATAGAAGTAATAGCTTAGTCTGGAAGAGTGACTTCCTGCTGGAGCTAATGAACAAGGAGTGTGTTTGCCTGGCAGTCCCCGCGCCTTAGGTCAGGATATCAGAAGAAAAAGTACTCACTGCTAGATAATTATGGATAGCTATCTGCTTGAGACTGCTGACAGAGCTTCCACTTTTTAAGCCTGAATTGTAAACCCTGTTTGATAGATCCCTTCTTTTTTTTTTCCTATGAATATTCCTCACCCCTAGATCTTTAGCCCCCTAATCTCTAGAATTAACTTCTTCCTTTGTGCTTCTTTCTGGTAGCTTTGAGGTGTGTCATACCACCCCCATCCTTCGGAAATCTTTTCAAGGTTATAGCATACTCTTACCTCTGCCTCAACTTGTTCATGTGTGAAGTTCATAAAGGAGTTATTGATTTCCACTACTTCCAATTTTCTTTTAATCTTCAGCTTCTCAATTCCCTGTCAAGATGTTTCTGCCTCTATTACCCTATTGGACCTGCCTGCCCCTGCTCTTCTTTGGTCTTAGCTTCTGTGGTGTTACTTTTTGTTTGTTTGTTTATAATTCTCTTAAAGACTTCTGTGCTCACACATCTTCTTCCTACTCTTCTTGTTGGCATGAGTATTCACTGGCATCAGTCCCTGAGCCTCTTTTCTTTTCCTCCGCTGTTCACTTGCTTTCATGTCCCTTCTCCTCCTAAGTTCATTTATGAAGCTCTCATCCATAGCTGGAACAGCTTTCTTTTCTTGAAAATATCTTTATTCTGTAAAATTATCTATATAACCCCTTGCTACTCACGCTGTAAAAAAACTTTTTTACACGTGTGTTTATGTATCCTGTCTAATTCGGTCTCTTTATTTGCATAACCTTGTATTTGTGTGTTGTTTGTCTTTTTACCCCTACAATTTGAGTACCTGAAAGTATTTTTTGAAACTGTCTAATGTATAATACATGATAGATAGTCAGTAAATGGCTATTGTTAATGATTAATAAAAATTCTAAAATAAAGTTTAGGATAGATTGTGGCCTCCAGTCTTTTCCCATTAACCTTTTCTTCCCCATTGATGATGTTAATAGCCAGCATTTTTTCAGCATTAGGTACCATGAGGAATAATTTGTAAGGTTTTTTTTTTCCCCCCTCGTAAGTCCCACAGCAGGTCTGTGTAATGATACTTTTATTATGTACATTTTACAGATGAGGAGGAAATTGAGGTTTAGGGAGAATAAATGATTTGTCTAAGGGCTCCTTAAAACCCAAGTCTTTCTGACTCCAAGGTCCATATAACTGCTGTACTCTAAGAAAGCTATTTGTTAAATTTTTTTTAAAGGAATGCATGCGGTAGCACAGGTAATTCAGTTAAAATCCCAGTCCAGGAAGAAATGCCTGAGAGAACCACTTGATGTGCATCCCGCCTTGATCCATCTCCTCAGTTTGAAGTATCAGTTTAAGAACCAGTTTGCCTGTAGAAATGTATGCAACTCTGACAGAACAGCAGATTCTCTGGCTGTGTTTCACCTGTGTCAGTTGTCCTGGGGCCCAGGAGGTAGAGCCCAGCCATTCCTCCAAACGCGTTTGTCCGTTAAGTAACACCAGGGCTTGGTTAGCTTCCTGGAAACAGAATTGTTAGCCTGATAAACTAGCTCTTATAATAGCATCATCTTACACAGAATTAGAAACAGTTTCTCTAATCATACTTGTCACAGATTTGATTTGAAAAGCATGTGTGTATCTGTGTATGAATATACACATTTCATTTTGTTTCAATATCTGAGTTGAGACAACTATTCTTAGTTCTAAGGCAGGTTTCCTTGATATTGAAAATTACATGCATTCTGCTGTTAGGACTATCAAGGGATGCGCCTCAGAAAACACCCATCTCGTGCCATCTAGTCATAATCATAGTGATCCCAGTTTACTGTTAAGTGTGTGCGTGTGTCACTCGGTCGTATCTGACTGTTTGAGACCCCATGGACTGTAGCCCACCAGTCTTTCCTCCAGGAGGTCTTCCTGACCCACAGATGGAACCTGCGTCTCCTGCATTGGCAGACGGATTCTTTACCATTGAGCCACCTGGGAAGCCCCCATTTACTATTATAGTTGGTCCAATAATTTTATACATATATAATATTTAATGATATATAATTTTATACATATATATTATGTTAAATTTAATATAAGTGCATGTGTGTTTGCTAAGTTGCTTCAATCATGTTCGACTTTTTGCGACCCCCTGGACTGTAGCCCACCAGGCTCCTCTGTCCATGGGATTTCCCAGGCAGGAATACTGGAGTGGGTTGCCATTTCCTTCTCCCAATATAAATGCATATATTTATATTATATGTATATAAGCCAGTCATTATAGTTTAGGTGTTGTACTCTAGTTTTAAAATCTTGGTTTGGAGGTTAAAAAACAAAAACCAAGCAAGTTCTCTTTCTTTAAGGAGCCTACAGGTAAATTGTGAGAAAATACAAAATAATTGATGGGATGTATGAGTTTTAATTTTTTAATAAGTGTTTTTGTGTAAATACCTGCTTTGTCCTCATTCATTACCTCATTTACTTCATTCTTTTTGTACTACAACTGTATCACTCATACTTTTGTATGTACTTTGAAGTGGAATTAGAAAGGAAGCTACTCTAATGGTGTTTTTCTTGCAAGTCTTAAATCTAATTTTACTTTTCTGAGCAGGCAGAGATCTCTTCATGGGTACCCTTCTCCTTCCTTCCTGCACCTCCTCAGAGGGCAAGTAGGGCACCCGAGCAGATTTGGTCCAGGACAAGGGGAGAGGCGAATGATGCCATTTACTTCCTATGCCCCATGCTGGTCTTTCCTTTACACAGGGTATTAGAATATTTTCAAGGGACAGTGATAAAGGGCGGAAGATAGGCACACTCTATGGGTGGAGTCTTGAGCTTGCTTCTTTTAAGGTGTGCCCCAAGTCCATAAGTGACTCACTTGTCACGAAAGCAAGTATGACAACTCATCCTAATGTCCCTTGGCAGATCAACAGACCTGTTTCTTTTTAACTTCCCACTGCTATTTGAAGGACCTGGGAGAATTTGGCAAGACGTGGAATTGACTTGGTTTTAGGTTCTCGGTTTTGGCCAGTTGTCTTCAGTGCACGAGAATGCTAGTGCTCTATGCTATTTCAAGAAAGGGGATTAAAAGTAATACCAATAAGGCAGAGACAATGCACTGCTTGCTTGGTTAGGGAAGAAAAACAATAGAATTGCCTTTTGACTTCCCCGTGGGAAGCAGAAGGCCTATAAACTTGTAAAGAGTTGGGAAGGGGCATTCAGAGGCTAGGCTTGTGAAACAACTTCTGTTTAAAGCAGCAACCTTGTTTGGTACCTTTTAAATATGCTTTCCTACAGTACTTGAAGGATAAGTCTGTGACTGATTCTGTCTCATAATTGGTTCTCCGTGAATTCATCTTTTTATTCAGTACCCTACTACACTGTGCTGTGTTGTTTTTCACTTCACTCCAAGTTTTCATCTATTTTTCCTGGTTGAGTTTCTCTGGCACTGGAAGAATTAGTTTATTTGAATACCTCTCTCGCTCCCAGTGAATAGGTAGATATTGCTGCCAGAAATCTGATTGGAGAACTGTTAGAATCCATTAAAATTCAATTTGCCATAGTCTGATCTCAGTTATCCTCTTTTCACAGATAGCAAATTTATGTCTTTTAGTTACAGGGTCTGTCATTTCACCTAGGCAGAACTCCCTGAGTGTGAGTCATACAACTTGTGAAACTACTTTCTTTTGTGGTCCGTTTTAAAGTGTCTTAGCCCATGTGCTCTCTTTCTTTGCAGACGAGCAGGAGGCATTGAACTCGATCATGAAGGACCTGGTGGCCCTCCAGATGAGCCGACGTCCCCGGGTGCCTGGATATGAGACCATGAAGAGCAAAGACACGGGTCACCCAAATAGGCAGGTGTGTGCAGCTGTGGCTGTTAACTAACTTTGTTGGGGGGTTGGTTTCAGATGGGAAATATGTGAGAAGCCAGTGATACTCTAATACAGGTTTAAATGCTGTTGACCCCTTCCTTTCAGTCTGTTGAATGGTAGGTAAGTGATGTATACCCACTAGGTGTGGGTCATGATCTGGAGTCCCAGTGCCTTGTGCATCTGACCTTGTAAATAGCATTTCATTTGTGGAGAAGAAGAGTAATTTCTTTGTTATGGGGACAGTACTCATAGAATTTTTCCTTTACTGATCATTTGGCAAATATTTTATCCAGACTCTTGATCTCTAGCTCAGGAGGTCTTTAAACAGTATATTCCCAGGAAGAATTAATTGATTTTAGTTTATTTAAATGTAATTAGGAAGGGAAATGTATTTAATAAAACATCATGTATTCTGAAGGTAAGAATGAGTGATTTTGTTATTACTGCTATTTACAGCTGTTTCCCCTCATTAACTCAGGTAGTTGAGAGTGCCTGTTTTACTGAGAGCTGTGTGCTTTCTTAGGAACGCAGTTTGTCTTTTGTTAACATCTCAGCGTGTGCCCTGTGGAGAACTTTCTTCTCCTGGTCAGTCTTGCTGGGCTCCTTGTTTCCCGGGTCCTTTGGCGGCAGAGAGGAGTGAGTGAGGGGGAGCCTGCCTTCCTAGTGGCCATCAGAGGGTTGTGTTCCGTGTGGTTGATGATTTCCTCCTTGGCGGTTCTCTTGGTTGTCAGCTGACCTTCTCCCTGCTCATCTGCACCTTGTCTACCAGTTCTTCAGAAGTGCTCTTGGTTCCTGGAGAAAGTAGAAGGGGCTGGAACTTTTTCTGCCTGAGGTCTGCTAGATGTAGCCTTCCAGAGTATTTCCTGCCTTTAGGAAAACTGGGGACCCCAAGTCCTTTTGTTTTAGTTATAGCGGAAGGAATAGTTTAGAGAGCTGCTCTTATTTTTTGTGGTTCCCTTGTAGAACTGGGGAGCAACAGAATAGGGCCCATTCTTGTACTGCTCTCATGCACTATTCCGATTGTGTGGGTTCTGCCTTGCTGTAACAGTTCTATTCAAAGCTGCTTTGGGAAGGAGCATTCTACCAGGAGTGAATCCCCTCCCCCAGGCTTGAGCCTAATGACCTCACTTTCCTTCCTGTCTTCCTATGTGGAGTGTGCTTGCTAATGCTGCTCCAGTCAGCTGATCCTTCTCCAAGTGGGACTGTTAGCCTGGACATCAGTTAGTAGGTGAAAAGGGGAAGCTTTCTTGAGTTGGAAGGCCCGAAAGAACCCGGCTGAGGGGTGAAGTGGTCTGTCACTGTTTAGGAATCCTGCTTAGAGGATACTAAAGCTACTGTTAGAAAATCCTGATCTTTTACTGTGCCTGCTGCTGTGCTTTTGGAGTGAAAGCTGTGGTTATAGAAGTAGAAGGCTGTGAAAAGGATTGACTACTATCAGGAAATAATCTTAACAAGAAATACTAGCTGTTTGGATCCACAGTTTACTTGAATATCATCAGACTTTTTCTGCAGCATGAAGGATACAGATTATTAACCTCAGTTTTTTTGTTTTTAAAGAAAAAGCATAACAGCAGCAGCTCAGCCCTTCTGAACAGCCCCACAGTAACAACAGGCTCATGTGCAGGGGCCAGTGAGAAAAAGAAATTTTTGGTAAGGAATAAAATTACCCATTAAAGGTGAAATGTGCTTTTAAATCTTGCAGTGCTTGAAGTGTATAGAGTTCATTTCTTGGACACGTTGTCTTAGTGAATTTGTAGGGAGCACTGGTTACTCGTTACCTGTGTTCTCTTACCATTTCTCACAACAATATTATTCATACGCAGCCTGTACCACTGCTGAACAGTAAATTTCTGTGGTGATAGAAATGGTTTATGTTTGTGCTGCCCCATGTAGTAGCCACTGGCCATACATGGCTGTTGAGCAACTGAAGAACTGAATTTAAATTTTTATCCCGTTTTAATTATTTTAAATTTAAATAGCAACATGTGGCTATTGGCTGTGGTCTTAGCACAACTTTATATAAGGGACTTTTGATTTGTTGGGCAAGAAATTGAGTACACGCTTGGAGATGTGTACATTCATCCTCCATGGACAGGTCATGAGTTCATGGGTTTCTACACATTGTGATAAGCTCATCAGTGGGAAACCTATCTAATAGTCTAATCCAGGGCCATGGGGTTCTGGGGGGAATGTGAAGCTGTGGAACTATCATGGCTGTTTAGAAATTGAAGCTCAAAGTTTTATGTTAACTTTAGGTGAAAGGACAATGAAAATATCAGACTAGCTTCTGCAGTTAATAAAGTCAAGGTTGTAGAGTGGTCTCTTCTGGGAAGTGTAATAGATGTTCAACTTCTGACCAGGAGAAATATTCTTCAGCAAAATCCTGGAAGCAGGAGGAGAGAGAAAGTCTTAGTGAATGCATTTCCGAGGAAGTGTGAGTTGGGGTGAGGTGGGGGTGGTGAGAGCAGTTAAGGGGAAAAGTGTTTACAGCCTGATATAATGAAAAGAGCTCAGCCTAAGAGTCTCGAGATGTTAATAGTTTGTTACTGTAGGACTTTACAGTTTACAGAGTGAATTCCCTTTTTAAAAATTCTCGTTTTTGTTTGCTTGGGCCTAGGATAGGAATAAACAGTTTTCTCATTACCACTTCTTCTGCCAGAAGGTCCATGCTTAGGATGAGAGAGGACTGAAAGATCAAAAACCTAATGTAAATGGCTAAGAGATGCCAAATTGGTCTAAGAATTGTCACACTGGGCTAAAGATTCAGGTTGCAGAGTCCTGGTTAAAAGAAACCAAGTATTTTGGCCAGTAGGAAAGGTGGTTTGTTTGGGGATAGATCGGTGCTCGTAGGGGCAAGCAGCGCTTCAGAGTGAGAAAGGTGGAGCTGAGGTTGGCGCAGCCTCCTGGGGCTCAGGCTTGGCACAGCAAGGAATGCCACGGGAGCTGGGGCTTCACTGACAGAGCTGTTTGGGACCGAGGCCTGGAAGAACGCGAAAGCCTAATTTAATATCTCTGCTTGGCAAGACTTCAGACATCCTCTTCCCTGAGTAAACAAACTAGGCGATTAATTGAAAGAAGAGAATGATTGGAGAACAGCTAAGCATTCTGAGCAGCTGTGGAAGTACAGGGGCGTGATGTGCTTGGTTATCCACCTGCTGGCTAGGAGCTAGGGTCTGGGCGCTTTCTGCTTCCCAGTAGGTCCCTGGGAGCCTGCCGCCTGGCTAGAGCCGGCTGCATGCCTTTGGATCGCGTGGCGCGCCCTCGGGTGACTGGGGCCCGGGATGGCGCTGCAGGCCATGCTCTGCAGACCTTTCAGAAGTCATCACTCGCAGTGCTTTAGCACCGGGTCTGTTTCTCCAAGCTGGCAGCTAGTGTGCTGAAAGGAGCCCTGGCCCAGAAGCCATTGAGTTGTTACTAATCCATTCACATGGAATTTTACAGTTTGGAGAGTGCTGTCAACAACGACAGTGAACAACAATAACAGCAATATAAGCATGTGTGTTATACTTTAAAAATTCTCAAGGTGCTTACGCAAAGGTGTTAAGTAGAGCCAGGAAGCAAACCCAGGCCTTCTGACCTCTGGTCACAGTAGTTTTCCCATGTGTGAGTCTGATGACCTTTCTGAACTGCAGTTTTTCTGTTTACCTCTGGAAGTTGTGAGCTTATAGACAGAATATAGAGCACTTTATACGTTGGAACACAAGGTAGGGTGTAAAGCGGTAGTGACTGCGTCACTTCTGTTGTCATGGAGCTGAAAAGGTTAAGGTTTTCTGCCTTTATTGGATTGACATTACTATCAATCAGATGGTCCTTTGCAGACTTGTGCAGCTAACCTAACATATGAAAATCCTGGTGAAGGAAGAAATAGAATCCTTATTACCACAGATTCCTGTTTTCCTTGAATCTTATCACAGAGGTAGGTAGAGGCTTGAACGGAGATGTTCACTAGTTGGTACTTGAGAATGAAAAAGTTGTTTTCTTCATAGCAGGCACTAGAAGGGCAGGCTCTTGGTATCAGCTCTAAAGGAGGAGAATTCTAGGAGCTGTTCTGCCAGCAGGGTCAGGGACTGAGCAGACTGTCTTTTGCTTTTACTGTGATAGACCTGACTCTTCAGGACTTCCTTTTTCTTTCAAGAGTTATTGATAAGATAGGCTGGCTAGTTTGAAAATAAAACACAATACAGTGTACAAGTCTCATATTCTATTTCATAAGAAGCTTCCTTTTCTGTGGTATTTTATTAAGTAGCAGTAAATAATGGATATGCCATTTCATCATTGATTTATTTATTCAGACCCTCACTGAATGCCTTGTGCAGTGCTAGGACTGGAGACTGAGCAGGAACTGGGGCAGGGAAGACGGTCGCTTTATAGTCACCTCTTCCACTGATCTCTTAGGACTTCTCTGAGTCACACAAATAAAATTATTTTTGGTGCTCTTTTCTTCTCATTTATCTACTATCTTTGGCAAAAATAAGGACTCCAGTGCCAAAGATGTGGGAGCCAGCAAAGGTACATAGCAATGTGGGGGAATGGGAGCACTGCAAAACCAGAGAGGGTGCCAGAGATACTGGCTCATGGGGGCCTTTGCCAGGTCAGAGGTTCACAGACCTTTGTTTAATAAACACTTTGATTTTTTTTTTTAAATGCTTGAGAATCTTCTCGGATTACATGTTCAGTTGTTAAATTCAGACTTTGAGAAGGTCTTTTCTACTTAAGTTTGGTATCGTTGGTTACTCCTGCTGCCCTGTGGTGTTCCCAGGTTGCAGCTCAGCCTGGAGGCCTCGCTGTCTTCTCCTGTCTGTGGCCCTTACTCTTCCTTTCACCACACTGGCTCTGGTGAGCCAGGGCACTTGAACCTACCTAGACCTGAATTTTTGTACTGGTGCTTTTTTTCTCAGCAGCTGTGGCATCTCTCCGTTCAGTTCAACATGAGCTTATACTCAAGCTTCTTTGACAAAAGAAATATGTTATATTCTCTGTACGCTAGGAATCATGCAGTCTTATTATAAACGAGAAATATGTGAAAAAAAGAAACTAAGGTAGGTTGTGACTGTGCCTAAATACGTGGTACAGATTCTGAGAGGTAAAGGAGGCCAGGAAAGTGAAAGGTGAACTTGGGCTGGAGGAGTCAGAGTCATTTCCGGAGAAGGTGGCACTGGAGGCAAGCAGTGAAGGATGTGTAGGAGTTTAGTCAGGTGGACAGGAGGAAGTACAGCACTCCAGGGTGGGAAACTGCATTGTTAAAGGCCTAGGGGAAGGAATGCACATGGCATATTTCAGGAAATAGGGTGGGCATCGATCTGGCTGGAGAGAGGGTTCCCTTTGAGAACAAACAATGTGAGATGATTAAACTAAGTAAGCATAAGTTCCAGGGGGCTTTGAATAATAGTTAATAACTTAGACTTTATTCCATAGGTCATGGGTATCGCTGATTACTTTTTGAATAAAGAAGGGATGTGGTGAAAGCGGTGGCTAAGATGATTGAGACTGTGGAGGCATGTGGAACGTGCTGGAAGAGGGGAGCTGAGAAGTGCAGAGGCTGCTTCAGGAGTTGAGGAGGGGAAAGGGACTAGAGGCGAGTGAGAACTGAGAGAATGGGAAGCAGTCTCATCCAGGAGTCTCTGGAGGGGAGAGTGGGGTCTTGCCATCTGCTGAGGAAGGGAAAAGAGGGAACGAATCAAACAGAGCTCAGAGGTTTGAACCTATAGCCAGTATTATAAGTGGCACCGTTGAGAAGGGGGATTAGTTAGGGAGGGTAGCTGATGAAGACACGTAACTAGGTTGAGTTTGCAATTATAGCGAAAGACTGAAATTGTGTGCGCAGGTATGTGTGTGCATTGCTTTTGCAGTTCTGAAATCCAAAGAGTGCTGCCAACTAAAAGGTGCTTTTTAGAATTTATGTATTTTCAAATTTCCGGCAAACTCATTTGGCAACAAAACTTGGCCTGAATGGACACAGGGCTATTTATAGTCTTTATTTATTGCACTTATTGTGAATATTGATACTTTTCAATACAGAAACTGACTTTTGCTGTTAGCAGGTAAACCCTGAATCTCAGTGACTGTACAGCCGTGTCCAGTGTGGGGAAGGAGGTGACAGTGTTCCCCACAGCCACGTCAGGACCCTGGTTGAGGGTGGCTCCTCTGACCTGGAACCTGTGGCTGCCAAGGAAGAGAGTGCAGAACTCAACTTTGTCCCCAGCTATTGGTCAGAACTAGTTACAAAGCCCCAAACTAACTTCCAGAGAGGCTTAGCAGTGTAGAGGAGGGCACAAAGTGTTTGTGTGTGTTCTGCCTCTGCCTGGGAGCGCCGCCTGACACCCTCTCCCCGGAGGGGCATCACTTAACATACAGAACACATACTGCTGTTCTTTTTTTTTTTTTTTTTTAAACATTTATTTTTATTTATTTGGCTACATAGAGTCTTAGTTGTGGCATGTGGGATCTAGTTCCCTAATCAGGGATCAAACCCAGCCCCCCTGTATCAGGAGCGCAGAGTCTTAGCCACTGGACCACCAGGGAATTCCCCATACTGCTGTTCTGAAACACTTTTGGCTCCAAGGGTTTGGCTAAAGGAGAATGGATCTCTATTATCACTTTTTGAACATGTGTGTCAAGTACTCTTCTCATATCTTTCCCCAATTATTTAATTATTTTGATAATTCCACAAGACAGATTGTCACTGTTTTCACTTTGCAGATGAGGAAACTGGGTCACAGAGAGTCATGTTCAAGGTTACCACAGGCAGGTTATACACCCAGGGTTTGAAGCCAGACAACTTGACTCTAGTGCTCCATTCCTTATAAATGACTTACCTGCCTCGTTTACATGGCAGATGGATGACGTTTTGCTTGAGAAGATGGGGCTAGACATAGAGATTTGGGAATCTTCTATTTAGAGGTGACCTGATTTTTTAATTCCTACCAAGGAGAAGATGTGAGGAGAAGGAGAGAAATCCAGAGGCCAAAAGTTCAAACCTTGAGGCATAGTCACGTGTTGAGGGGAGGGGTGGGAGAAGGCACGAGGAAGAGGAACCAGCAAAGAAGCAGAAGTGGTTAGAGTGGTGGCAGGTTCTCTGGCTTGAGACAGAGTCACAGAGGCAAGGAGGACACAGCCACCAATGCGAAATGCCTCAGAGAGGCACAGAGAGCGGTTGGCAGGAAGGAATTGAATCTAGTGAGCTTTAGCGGAACTTTCTTGTCCGTGGCTTGTTCTAGTCAGCCTGACAGGGGAAACCCAGGGTTGGGAACTTGGCAGATTTGGGCACACCATGTGGTACATGGAAACCAGTCACAGGCCTGCATCCTGCTCTGGAAAGGCCGTAGCCACATCAGACATAGGACTCAGAAGACTGGGCATCTTTGTTTACACTGCTTGCTAATCACAGGCTAGGTTAGTCTTGAGTAGGAGTGATTTGTGGTTTGAGGCAAAAGTTTAATTCCCTTTCTGACTGAATTCACGTTGAATAGCATTTGGATTATGTCCCATCATGAAATAAATTTAGTTCCTTTAGTCCCACAAAGGGACGGAGGGAGTTCTTTCCTAGGTTCATCTAAATATCGTAAGTCCTCCACATATGAACCTTCAAGGTGTGAGCTTTGACAGATGCGAATGTGCCTTCCCATGTTCAGTCATGTTAGTTCACATGCCTAGCGCACCTTGTCACGTGCGTGAACCCTCTACACGCGGTTGTGCTTTTGTGTGCTGTACAGTACTGTATACAGTAGTACAGTATCTTTATTTCAAGCCCAGGATGTGCAGAAACAAGTGTAAAAGCAGTGGTGATATAGCTGGTGCTACTGTACTTCTCGAGGTACTGTACTATAAGATTAAAAATGTCTTATATTTTATATTTTTTACATTATTTGTGTGAAAAGTATTATAAACCTACTACAGTATAGACTATATAACTGATTGTGTTAGTTGGGTAACTAGGCTAACTTTGTTGGACTTGAACAAATAAAAAACGAACGTGCTCTTGGAACGGAACTTATTGGTATGTAGGGGACTTAACTGTAATAATGTTCTAGGTGAAAGGAGTGGCACCCTACCTGTGGGGACAGACAGGACTGCAAACTGTGGTGGAGATGTGGGGTCCTCCAGAGCTGGTGTGAAGTTGGACAGTATGGGAAGCTGGAGGTGACATGTCTGAGCGTGGCAGCGTGGCGCAGACACTGTGCTTTGGAAGGCCCTTCCCATGGGAACTTCAGGGGAAGGAGAAAAGGAAGACAGTGGCAAAACTGCTGTCACTCATAAAACCTTGAAGCCGCACAGCTTCCTCTGCAGTGTGCCACATCTTTGCCGGTGTGCATGTGTACGCTCACACTCACACACAGTCTCTCTCACCTAGAATGCAGACCAGGTGGGGCACCCTGCCTTCCCATTCCACCTTCTCCACCTCCAACCATGCACAGCCTCAGCCAGAGCCTCCGCTTACTGGTTCCCCAGGCCCCATAGCTTCCCACAAGGTTGCCACCCTGATCTGATGCTGACTCGATTATTACTCCATCTCCTCCATGAGTTCTGAAAAGTAAGGTTTCAGAAGATCCTGTGATAGTTTCTTTCTTTCAGTGTTCCCATTGAAGCCCTGCATCTGTGAGTAAAATAAACCTCCCTTGCCTGTGTAACACTTAAGTTGTAGCCTATTTAGACTTCTTTTAAAGCATTGTGATCTTGAGTGAATTTATTTAACTTCACTGTAACTCAGTTTCTCCTGTAAAATAGGGATCGTAAGAGTTCCTGTTGTGAGGGTTAGTTTAATTGATGCATGTAACATACTTAGAAGAAGGCTTAGTATACAGTAAATGCTCTATAAATGTCAGCTATTGTCATATTATTGGTAATGGATAAAGTGGTCCATATGTGAAATCGAAGGATGAGTGGGCTGTATCAGGGTTGTATTTTGAAGAGCTATCACAGTGCAGGCCTGTTAGTCCAGGGAGCTTTGCTGTCCACTGTTTACTATGTGAATTTTTGGGGGGCATGAAGCTCTTTGAGCCTCCATTTCCTTGACTTTAAAATAGTGGGTTAAAGGCTATACTTATATTTTAATTCAGTGGCTCTCAAGGTGTATTCTGGGACCCCTAGCAGGTTCCCAAGAACCTTTCGGCGTCCCTCAGGTTAAAACTATTTTCATACTAGTACTAAGATGTTCTTTGGCCTTTTCACCCTCATACTCTTAAAAAGTACACTAGAGCTTTCCAGAGGCTGTATGACACATGTTATCACAACAGTTTGAAAGCAGAAGCTGATAAGAGAATCCAGCTGTCTCCTATGAAGCCATGCATTAAGAAGTGCCTACTCTCTTGCTTCACTTTTTCTTTCTTTCTTTCTTTTTTTTTCCTGGTATTTTGGCCACACTGCGTGGCACAGAGGATAGTCTCCTGACCAGGAGTTGAACCTGTGCCTCCACAGTGGATGTGCCAAATCCTAACCACTAGGCCACCAGGGAACTCCATCTCACTTCACTTTTTAAAAAACATACAGTTTTTAAAATGTGTTTATGTTAACATATAGTGGTTTTTAATTATTTTTAGATGAATAAAATTTAAGTTTTCTTAGTTTTAATTTCTAATAAGGCAAATATTTGTAGATATCATATACATAAGCAAAAGCTTTTAGGGGTTTTTAGAGTGTAATTAGAGTCTTTAGAGTGTAAATTTTTAGAGTGTAAGTTAGAATCATCAGTCTGGTTCATTTGACTGGAAGAGAATTCTAGCCCTCCCATCTCTTGGGAAGGGGAAGCCTTTGTGCACCTACCCTACCTTTCAGCTTTCTCCTTTTTCTGTCATCTTCTCTGCCTGCTCTATGTTCTTCATCTTCAGATATCCTGAAACCCTCTTCTTTCTTCAAAGCCACAGTCTTTTGTCTATCTCAGTATTATTTTCATTCACTGACTATGAACTCTTTCTTACCTTTATCTCTATTACTTGTTGGTTTCCTGACAATTTTAGTTTTCTTTTTCCTTTGTACCTGTTCTTCTATAATATCTCTTCTCTTTTCCTGTCATTTCTAACTCCCTCAAGTTATTTATTTGACCTTTATAGTATCTCTTCCTCCCTGATTTGTTCCTTAACCTTCTGACACTCCTTCTTTTTCTTGTTTCTGATACTTATACTCAACTCTGTTTTTCAATCAATGAATTCATTTAACAAATATTGTTAAGCGCAGAGATTATATACCATTACATTTGCTTGTCCCTGGAGCTACGGAATTCTTGAACAGGTATGATCCCTGTTCTCCCAGAGCTTATAGGGTACCCTGATGGTCATCTAGGCTAAAACTGGGGACAATTATGAGGTATTTGTCCAGGGTGCCACTCTACTCCCACTCAGGGCAGCTGTGATAGGATAGTGGAAATCATTGGTACCAGTGGCAACCATTTATTGCATGTCTACTATGTATTAAGTATTTTACTTACATTTTCTTGTTTAGTTTTCATAACAGTTCTGTGAGTTAGGTATATTTAGCCCTATTCTGCAGATGGAAGAACTAACAGTTACAGAGGGTAAGTAACTTGGTTGTGGTCGTATAGCTAGAATTATCACTATGAAGAGTTCTTTCTCTGTTTAGTTACGTCAGCCAAGAAGGAACGGTATCCTGGCCCGGAGGTGGTGACAGAGTGGGAGCAGCTCCAGAGCTAGTTGTGGAAATAGAGCTTGTGAACTTAGAGATGACATGTCAGAGCAGAGCTCCTGGGCTGGGCACCCTCGAGGGTTCTTGTCCCAAGAGCTTTGTTGCCCCGGAGGTTAGAACTCAGTGACAAGAGTGCCCATCAGGGCAGAGAAGCTCCAACAGGAGCCTTCAGGGATGCTGCCTAATGTTGCTGAAAGACTGCCTGAGGCTACCTGGGTGGGGCAGGAGTGACACAGGCCAGAAAACCCGCTAACCTGTCTATCCTTTCTTTGGCAGAGTGACGTCAGAATCAAGTTCGAACACAATGGGGAGAGGCGGTAAGTCTGCCTTCTGATGAGTGGATGTGTCATGGGTGCCCCATTTCTCAGAAAGTGTGCAGCTTGTGGGAGCCATCTCCCTGGAGTGATTCCTATGGGGTCCCTGGCTGGGTAATGGGGTTGATGGGGAATAAAGGGGAATGTTTCATCCTTGGTTTGGCATATTGACTGAACCTTGTTTCTGGTCTTAAAGCGTCAACTGCTAATGTTTTATTTACCCTTCTGCTCTTATTCTGCTGCTGTGAGGTCCATCATTGTGCTGGGGGAGGAAGTCAGAGCTCCAGCTCCACTGAGTCATAGCTTCCAGACACGCTGACCCTGTGCCAGCTGTGGGCATCAGAGGGAGAGGAGGCTTCTCCTGTGACATGCTGCCATTCCTTTCCTGAAAGAATGTCCCTGGTTTTGTCCACATCAGGGGTCATGTTGGGTGAATTGGAAGTTTCTTTAAAATGTCTCTAGGTCATGGGAAGCTACATTAAGTCCCTCAGTTGTGAAAGATTTCAGCTCATTTGAGGACATAGAAAGAGAGAGTTGTCAGTCTGCATTCTGTGTCTTACCTTGGGGAAGTGAAAGTACTGTTACAAAACCCTTGTATCCTTTTTCCATTGTCAATATTAAGGTTTTTGTAGGAAGTTAAGATAGAAGTTCTCAGTGGAGAAAAATATGACTTCACTTAATTTCTCAAGTTATTTTAAGGAAAATCTTTAAGAAAGCATACAGAACTCTGGTCAGGGGATATTTGGGACACTTTGTGTGCATGTGTGTGGCATGTATACGCACAAGCATGCATTGCATGCGTCCTCAGTCTCTTCAGTTGTGTCCAACTCTTTGCGACCCCGTGGACTGTAGCCCTCCAGGCTCCTCTGTCCATGGGATTCTCCAGGCAAGAATACTGGAGTGGGTTGCCATTTCCTTCTCCAGGGGATCTTCCCAACCCAGAGATCGAACCCACATCTATTTCGGCTCCTGCATTGCAGGCGGGTTCTTTACTGCTGAGCCACTAGGGAAACCCCCAGAGGACCTTAAGTGCCTTCAAACGTTTTTGTCCTGGAAGTTGTCTGCTGCTGGCATCTTTCAGCCCTCTCTGAAATTAGCTCTGGAGCTCTAGAGATCTGTGGCTCTGCTTTCCCTTAAAAAGATACATTCAGAAGCCTGCAAATTGGTCAGAGGTGGAAACATTGTGCAAAGGGAGGTCTGCAGAGCCAGGGCCTGCTGCTGTTAGGTGAATTCTGGGGCTGTTCCAGGCCGGGAGAGAGGAAGGTTTTCTGAGCTCTGTCCCCAGCTGTTCATTCTAGGACCTGCCAGTAGCACGGAAGTTAAATTGTCACTTCATTGTTGCTGCTTTTCACACTTCTGACCAGACTGGATTTTGGAGGGATTGCCAAACTCAGAGCAGCTGAGAGTTTTCAGAAGTAGATACTAAATCAAAGACTTGATTGTGTCGGAGCCTAATTACGCAGTTACGCTCTCCTGAATTCCTGTTCACTAAGTGGTATGTAGTTACAGTGAGCGGACTTACACTGAGAAAGTGTGTGTGTTTAGTTTCAGAGATGCTGCCAGATCGAAACCACAAATATTTAAGGTGGTCAGGCAGGAATGGCCTTTTGAAGCCCCGAGCAGCAGTGTTGGTATCAAGGTTTTGAGAACTGCATGCTCTTTTTATGGAGCTGTTTTCTGGAGCCGTGGTGTTTCACTGTTTGTGTACTGTGTGTGGAATTGAGGACTTTATAAAGTCTGTGCAGCGAAGCCATGTTCAAGCTGCTCTGTAACAGACAGCTCTGGTTTCATGTATGTCGTATCTTAAAGATTTGCTTGAAAATGTTTCTGTGGGCTTTCTTTACTTTTTACAGGACTAGGAATAGGATCTATTTAAATGTTGTAGGCTCTTATAGACTTAGAATTTATAGAAAAGAGGAAAGAAGTAGTGACTTTTCCCCTTTGTCCTTGCTAGATATCCATTCTGGTGGGCTGACTTTCCCTTTGGTTTGGATGGGTGGGCATCAGACTCTGAACTTTCCTCCCTCTTAGCCTCAGGAGGGCAGAAGAGGACTGTAGGCTAAGATCTGCCTCCTTGGAAATTATATTGCTGAATGTATTAGTTCATATCCACCAGGAAATCCATCCATATTGTAATCCTTATATTCCCTCCCCATCTCAAATCAACCATCCCAAGCATTAATCAGGTGCTGTCTTTAAAAAAGAGAGAGAAAGTGAAGTGCTCCCTAGATATGAGTTATCTAGATACGGGTGTTTGATGGATTCTTTTGAGAGAATACCTTTCTATTTATTCCTTATAGTAAATCACATCCCGTTCATCAGGACCTCAGCCACAGTTCTAAAGGGGCCTGCCTTTTTGAACTGGTGGGGATGGTTGTGCTGGGTGTTAGACCCATCTTTGAAGTACTGACCTGAAAATGCCAGTTATTTAAGGTGACGGTGGCAGCTTAGATCTTAACTAACCTGAGAGTCCTGGTTTCTTGACCTTGATGAGACTTGGTCTGCTTTTAAATGGTTTTGGAAGTTTTAAATGTTCATCACCAGGCCAAACGCAGGAGAATTTATCTCTGAGCCTGATCTTTTTCTGACTGTGTTAGGGATATCTGAGTGATCTGGTATTTTATTCAGAAAAGCAGACCCCTTTTGAACCGTTGCTGAAGTCCTGATGAAGGGGATATGTAATTAATTTTATGGAATTTAGTAATTCCTTATTTACAAAAAACTTAATAGAAAGGTATTCTCTCAAAAGAATCCATCAAACACTCATATCTAGATAACCCGTATCTAGGTAGCACTTAATTTTTTCTCTTTTTTTTAAAGATAGCACCTGATTAATGCTTGGGATGGTTGATTTGAGGGGGGATAATACAAAGATTACAATATGGATGGACTTCCTGGTGGATATAAATTAATATATTCAGCAAGATAATTTTCAGAAATGAAGGTAGTGACAGATGAAGGAAAAGTTATAGAGAAATTATCTTCCTGAGATATTAGGCTTTGTATGAAGGATTATACTAATAGCCTATCAACGTTGTTCAGTAGAACCTCGGCTCTAATATAAACATTCTGCGGAAATCCCTTGGTAGCTGAGGAAATTGGTTCCAAGGCCCCCTGTGGATATCAGACTCCTCGGATGCTCAAATCTTTTAGATGAAATGTTGTAGTCTTTGCATATAACCTACGTACATCTTTGCGTATACTTTAAATCATCTCTAGATTACTTATAAACCTAAGACAATGTAATTGCCATGTAAATAGTTGCCAGCATGGGGCATATTCAAGTTCTGCTTTTTTGGAACTTTCTGGAAATTTTTTTTTCCAGATATTTTTGATCTGCAGGTGTAAACCTGGGTATGAAGAGGGGTGACTTATAGCTGTGTTCTCCAGTATACTAGTCACTAGCTACGTGTATCTAGTGAGCACTTGAATGTGCTGATGGGACTTAAAGAGCTGATTTTAAATTTAATCAATTTAAATTTAAATAGCCACATGTGGCTAGTGGCTACTGTATTGAACAGCTCAGTTCTAGATATAATGACTTTCATGGTGCCCACTGATTTCAGTCAGCCAGATTTCCTGAAAATCCAATGGCTTACCTATCAAATTACCCATGACATTTTTCACAGAACTAGAACGAATAATCCTAAAATTCATTTGGAACCACAGAAGGCTAAATTGCCAAAGCAATCTGAGGAAAAAGAAAGCAGGAGACATCACCCTCTCAGACTTCAGACAAATTTAAAAGATGCAGCCATCAGCAGTTTAAATTGTTGCTGTCAAATTTGTCTTCTTCCTTTTGGCTTCTGTATTTTATGTAATTTTATATAATGCTTAGTAGGAAGACCATCCCTACGCCAACATTTTTTTATTTCTACATTTTCTTATATACTTGTACATATATAGTATACATATGAGTTTCTTTTTTATATTCTGTTTATCTCTTTGTTTATTTTTGTTTTAAATAAGTTTTAAAGCATTGGGTTGGACCCATATGATATGGTCACTTTTATATGTCAAACATTGTTGACTATCCCCAGTATCCCTAATAACATTAAAACTTTTTATTTAAAAAAATGTCGAACACACACAAAAGTAGAGAATGTGAAACTGAGCCTCCAAGGATCTGTCACCCAGCTTCAACATTGTCAACATTTTGCCAACTTAGTTTCATCTATGCCCACTTGTAAATTTTGTTGTGATATGTAACGACAAGTTATTTTAAGACCTCTTTAAACATGTTCCTACTCTACCATGTGTTAATATTTATAGAAATCATTCTTTGAATAGACCTAGTGAGTCTCTCTAGAAAAGCATCAATATCAACACTACTTATAGGCACACATGTGTCACTGGTTAAGAAAACTGATCAGGCACATAACCAACTCAAGGGGAATTCCTGTGACTTGGTGGTTGGAAATGTCAATTCTTAGGATAATCACCATTGAGATTCCTGTGGCATCTCAAAAATGAACAGTAGAAAAGACCTTTTCAAGTCCTTGATGTGAGTCATTTAGGAGTTAAGACCATGTTTTCAGGACTGCGGTTCCAGTTGCCAGGTTTTCTTCCTAAAAGGAATATTTGGAACATAGATTTTAAACCCAGGTGTCCTGCGGTGATACTGAGCTGTCATTGACGGAAAGATCTGAGCTGAAGTGGTAGAACAATGATTGAGATTGAATACTGCCTGTGGGTACTATTGAAAAACCTGAGAGATGCTCAGAGAAAGGGTAAAAATATAAAGGCAGATAAGAGAAGAAAAAAAAAAATACAGAGAAAGGCAAGCTGTATGAAAAATAAAAAGAACTCTTGAAACGAAAGGAAAATATCACTTAGGAGTCATAACTTCTAAACCCTGCATTTAAAATGTACAGTTAACCATGCTTCTGTTCTGTTTCAGAATTATAGCATTCAGCCGGCCTGTGAGATACGAAGATGTGGAGCACAAGGTGACAGCAGTGTTTGGGCAGCCTCTGGATCTACATTACATGAACAATGAGGTGCGGAAGTCAGATGGCCTGGGGATGTGGGGCGCACCTTGCCTACCCATCTTCTCTCAGCTTAACTGAGAGAACTAGCTTGTTCTTCTAATGTCATCTGCAGGTTTTCATTTTCTGGAGCCTCTTTTGTTAACTCCAATAATTTTGGGATTTTTCTTTTTTACTGTGTGGAAGATTGCACAGCTATTTCCATTCCTTCTGCTCATTCTAGGCCGGTAGCTCTAATAACTCCATGGTGGGGTCAGGTACAGGGATCAGGGTCAGAGCTTAGCGTTGCCTTGCTATAGCAGAGGATTCAGCAGGGCTGGGGATGTGGGGAAAACTGGTGGTAGGTCCTCTACTGACAGTCATAAATGTTGGATTCCTCTCAGAGTTTAGCTTCTGATTGTAGCTGGTGTCAAACATTAGCACCTACTCTAATCATTTCTTTAAACGCTTACTCCTTCTAACCCCACTCAACGGTCCTTATTTATGCATACTTTGAACATCACCCAGGAAGGAATTCTTTTGAATGTCAGTTACTTGGCTGCTTTCCCAGCTCCAAGGAAGGTACTAGAGGCTGTAGTCTGCTTGGGTTGGTGCTTTGCGTTAGTCTGAAAGGCAATGTGTTTGTGCCCAGTAAAGAGCCTGCACTTTGAGGGGCTTCCCTGGTGGTCTAGTGGTTAAGAATCCATCTGCCAATGCAGGAGACATGGGTTCGATCTTTGGTCTGTGAAGATCCCACATGCTGCGGAGCAACTAAGCCCATGCGTCACAGCTACTGAGCCTACAGTCTAGAGCCCAGAAGCTATGACTACTGAGCCCATGTGCTGCAGCTGTGGAAGCCTCCATACCTAGAGCCCATGCTCTGCAAGAGAAGCCCTTGCAATGAGAAGCCCGCCTGCTGCAACTAAAGAAAGCAATGAAGACCTGTCGCAGCCAAAAAATAAAATAAAATCTTAAAAAAAAAGAAAAAAGAATTAAGGATTGATTCATCTCTTAGTTGAAAATAAAGGCTTTAAAAAAAAAAAGCTTGCTCCTTGAGGGAACTAAGTTGAGGGGAATAGACAGGAAAGCTGGGCAACCTCATGGCTCTTTGAGAGGTCTTTCCTATGTAGTTTTATTTTAGTGGTTGAAAAGTTAAGAATTTCCTCCAAACTCTGGGGCTGAAATCCATAGAAGCTGAGATTCGTTGGCCAAAAACTTTCTGGTCCTCTTTAAACAAAATGTACAGCCACAGTTGGGTATGCATGCTTGCTCAGTCACTTCAGTTGTGTCTGACTCTTTGTGATCCCATAGACTGTAGCCCGCCAGGCTCCTTTGTCCATGGAATTCTCCAGGCAGGTTGCTATGCCCTCCTGCAGGGAATCTTCCTGACTCAGGGATCGAACCTGAGTCTTCTGCATTGCAGGCAAATTCTTTACCACTGAGCTCCCCAGTTGGGTATATGCTGCCATATAGCTAACAAAAATAAGACCATCTGATCTTTTGCTTTTGGGTAAATTTTAGAAATACAACAAATTTAGAAAATCACTAACACTATGGTTAGTAAATAAAACAGATGTAAGCATTTCAAAGTACGTAAACTAACACATTTTAAATACAGGATATGAGAACCCCCAAAATATAAGTGAAAAATCCATAGAACAAACATCCATGACTGTATGAGAAAACGAGGCTAAAATCAGCTAGCCAGTCAGCATTCAAGGTGTTCTTTAGTTAGGAAATATTTTTCTGGATGATTTAGTACTACTTATTTCTCTTTCCATTAATATTTCCATTAAGAATTCCGTATGTCCCAAAATCCATTTTCAGACTCTTGCCAAGGAAGTGACTGCCCAGAATGTTGGGCATTCCTTTATTCAAATGTTTATACAGATATTGATTCTTAACCAAATATATTTTTTAAGAGTCAGTGAAGACTAATGTATTTGAGCGTTTATTTTTCATCACTTTTTTACTGTTGTTGTTGTATCTGTTTTTGTTTTTTGACCTCATTTCCCAGACCAGGGACTGAACCCAGGCCATGTCAGCGAAAGCCCAGAATCCTAACCACTAGGCCACCAGGGAATTCCCATAATTGTTACTATATTAAATCATGCATGTTTTTCCATACTCTGCTAATGTCAGTGACTAAGAGTTGACTAATTTATATCTTATTGATTTCAACTCTCTCAACCTATTTTTCTTTGCCCTCTAAACCCTGCCTTGTCAGGACTTGTGAACCACAAATGAAAAATCTTTGATTTTATTTATGTTTATATTTTTGTTAAAATAGAGCTTTTTTGAGATATAATTCACCTACCATATCACTTACCCTTTTATTTTAAATTTATGTTTTTAAACTGTACATTCAGTGATTTTTAGTATATTCAGAGTTGTGTTAACTATCAGTACATGATTCCAGAACCTTTTTATCACCCCAAAGAGAAACCCTATACTCATTAGCAGTCACTTCCCATTCCCCCTCCACTTCCTAGCCCCGGGCAACTGCTTATTTACTTTAAATCTTCCTGAATTTGCCTATTCTGAACATTTTATGTATATGGAATCACAGTATGTGGCCTTTTGTATTTGGCTTCTTTCACTGAGCATGTATTCAAGGCTCATCTATATTGTAGCGTGTAGTGGACTTCATTCCTTTGTATGGCTGAATAATATTCCATGATATGGGTATACCACATTTTGTGTATCCCTTCATTCACCTCTTGATGGACATGAGTTTTTCCACTTTTGGCTGTCTTAAATAATGCTGCTGTGAACATTTGTGTACCAGTTTTATCTGAACAGCTGTTTTCAATCCTCTAAAATATACCTAAGAGTGGAATTGTGAGTCTTGTAGAAACTCTAACTTTTTGAGGAAATGCCCAATTATCTCATATTGACTGGTATCACTTTACATTCCTACTAGCAATATATGAGGGTTGCAGTTTCTCCACATTCTCACCAGTACTTGTGATTCTTTTTTTTTTCTTTTTTAAAAAAATTATAGCCATCCTAGTATGTATCAAGTGATACTTTATTGTGGTTTTAATTTTCATTTCCCTAATGACTAATGATATTGAGTATCTTTTCATGTACTTATTAGTCATTTATTTTTCTTTGGACAAATACATATTCAAATCCTTTGCCCATTTAAAAAACTGGATTGCTTGTCCTCTTGTTGAGTTGTAAGAGTTCTTCACATATTTTGGATACTAGATCCTTATCATACATTTGCAAAATTGTAGCTTTTTTTTTTAAGTTAAAACATACTCCAGTAATTTCTTTATCTTCTTGTGTCTCCACCCAACACTAACCCTTATATCCTTACTTTATATGTTAGTCAGAAATGAATTCTTTAATGTGATAATGATCTGTAGAATTTCATCCCATTCCATGGGTTGTTTTGAGCTTTTATTTTAAATACTGTTTTTTACTATTTGTTATTTCCTGGCCTAGGATTTAGAGTTCTTATTTCCTTGTATTATAAATTGTAAACTGCAGAAATTAATTGGATTTTTGCTTTGTGTTTGCCACAGATGTGTAAGATCTGACATTATTTAGGTCTTAAGGCATAGCATACTTCTGTATCTTTTAATACTAAGTACTCATAATATTTCAGAAAACTAAGATCATGGCATCCGGTCCCATCACTTCATGGCAAATAGATGGGGAAACAGTGAAAACAGTGGCTGACTTTATTTTTTGGGACTCCAAAATAACTGCAGATGGTGATTGCAGCCATGAAATTAAAAGATGCTTACTCCTAGGAAGGAAAGTTGTGACCAACCTAGACAGCATATTAAAAAGCAGAGACATTACTTTGTCAACAAAGGTTCGTCTAGTCAAGGCTATGGTTTTTCCAGTAGTCATGTATGGATGTGAGAGTTGGACTATAAAGAAAGCTGAGCACAGAAGAATTGATGCTTTTGAACTGCAATTGTTGGAGATGACTTGAGAGTCCCTTGGACTGCAAGGAGATCCAACCAGTCCATCCTAAAGGAGATCAGTCCTGGGTGTTCACTGGAAGGACTGATGTTGAAGCTGAAACTCCAGTATTTTGGCCACCTGATGTGAAGAGCTGACTCATTGGAAAAGACCCTGATGCTGGGAAAGATTGAGGGCAGGAGGAGAAGGGGACGATAGAGAATGAGATGGTCGGATGGCATCACCGACTCGATGGACATGGGTTTGGGTAGACTCCGGCAGTTGATGATGGATAGGAAGGCCTGGCGTGCTGCGGTTCATGGGATTGCAAAGAGTCGGACAAGACTAAGCGACTGAACTGAACTCAGTATCTTCTGCTTTTTAATAGCGAATAAGATTTATCTATATCCTTGAGAATCTTCTCTTTAATACTTCAATGGAATGAAAACAGAGAAAGTCATTTTTGGTTCTAGTTAGGGATTTTGTTTTCAACCTTTAAACGTTAAGATATTAAACCCTTCTATGTGGTCTAAATTTGTGTTCTTACTTGAGTAATGTTTTCATCCTCAGCCCACCCCCTCCTCCTCCTCAGCCTTTTCTGCTTATTTTGTTAACGTCAGCACAGAGTAGGGTGGGACACGCTTTTACTGCTCTAGTTGGGAAGAAATATGGGGGCTAAAACTGTTTGGGACTTGATGGCTTTGGAGTAGAGAGTATTTTGGGAGAGGAAGCTCTTCTCAGAAAATATCTTGAAATAAAGTACTAATGTGCTACAGCATGGATGAACTCAAAAACACTAAGCAAAGTGAAAGAAGTTGGATGCAAAAGACTATGAATTGAATCAAATATATATGAATTGTGTGATTTCATTTATATGAAATGTCCAGGAAATGCAAATCTCTAGAGACAGAAAGTAATTAGTGGTTGCCTGGGGTGAGAGGTAGAAAAGAGGAGTGACTGTGAATGGGCACAAGAGATCTTTTTAAAGTGGTGAAAATGTTTTAAAATTGAATTGTGGTGATGGTTGCACAACTCTGTCATTTTCCTAAAAATTATTAAATTGTACACTTAAATGAAAAAAAAAAGAGAAAATATCTCTATGGCTTCAGTTAGGTTTTTGAGGACTCCAGAGTATGCATTGAGATTGTTTTTCTCCAAATTTATTTTTAGTTTTTGTTTGTTTTGCTTGTTTTTGCAGACTAAAGACATATTTTATATGATTTCCTTTTTCTGTGTCATGTGTCACAGCTCTCCATCCTGCTGAAGAATCAAGATGATCTTGACAAAGCAATTGACATTTTGGATAGAAGCTCAAGCATGAAAAGTCTTAGAATATTGTTGCTGTCCCAGGACAGAAACCATGTAAGTAGCCCCTGCCCTGGACTGACAGCTGAAGACACAGCCTGCTGCCCTTCAGGAGTTCACCTTCTTCCTTGACGGAGTTTTGCGTTCCCCTGTCACCACTAAAGTGAGAACATCAGTGCAGTCCAGCCCACGGGGCCAGTGGCCAGCCAGCCTTCTGCATTTGATTTTACTGCATAGCCAGATCATCAGTGTTAAAGTTGCAGCTAAAGGTTACTTGGCTTGTGGTGTGGGAGGAAGGAAAACATTTTATGATAAAGGAGAGAATTCTTTTTCTCTGTAGTTAATGTGTTTTTTTTTTTTTAAACTAGATTTGGACCCCAGCAAGGGAGATTTGCTTAGTGTGGGGGTGCTGATTAGCAAAGACTGTCAAGGATTTGAGACTGTCATGCTTTGTGAACCCAACTCCTACAACTCCTCAGCAACTGTGACTTTCCCTTGGGACAGATAGAAAACACACTTTTCCCTTCTGTTCAGTGGGAAAAAGGCCGTAGACTAAAGGGCCTCTTGTAAGTTAGCATCTGCTGCCTTACCAAATGGCAACAATCTTAGGGGCCTTCAGAACTGAGGGATTTTTCCTTACACAGTTTCCTTTCCTAAAGAATCCCCAAGGGCCTACATTTCACAGGAATGCTTGTAATCTGTATCTGTCTTCTATTTGATTCCTATACCAGTTTTCTTCACATACATGTTCCTGAAGGTTTCTTTGGTGTTCTTTCCTTTCCATATGCTTGAAAACAGCCAACTGTGGACAGCTAACTTTACTTCCTGAGAACCGTGGATGCCCTATACCGGACAGAATTTAGAGGGAATGGTGCTTTATTTTTAAAGAGACTTTAGAATGTCTGTTGATTAGGGAAAGACACAGAAGAATGTAGTTAGGAAGCCTTAGAATAAAGAAGATGTTTTCTAATAGTACAGAAGTGTCCTTGAGCATGAGGACTGGTCTTCTCTTTCCCAGTGTCTTTTTGTTCTGGGTATGTTTTGGGAAGTATTCTGAAGTAAAATATAAACTTTATTACTTCATTTCTCTGTTCGAGTTACTTACCTTCTCCTTGTAGTCCTTTCTCATTGCCTGTCATGTGAGATCTAAATGTAGCCTATCATCCAGAATTTTTCACTAACTATCCTTCTTTCAGCTCCCCAGTCTCATCTTTCCAAGTTCTTCAGCATACTTCCCTTCTTCTACAGTTCTTTCTTCTTACTTTTTGCCAGACCCTGGTTGTCAGCCTTTTTTTTAGGTTCTAGCTTGATTTACCTGCTACAATTTGGTCAGTATTTTTGACTGAGGCCATATTGATTATTCCCCTTTCCTTTAGTCTTTGGATATAATTTGCACACTAGTTTATAGGTTCCTTAGTAATTGCCCCAAAGTTGTTGCGTATTTGTAAATTTTATCCCAAAAGATTGTAAGGTCCTTGAGAACTGGAGCTGTATCTTGTTTTTCTGGAACCCATCTTCCTAAGAGAGCAACAGTGACTACTTGAAATGTTAGCAAGAGTCAAGTAGAGACCATATTTAGCAAACACCTTTTTTACAGAAGAAACTGGAATTGAAATTTAATGACGTGATGGTTTAACTGGGAGCCAGCAACCCTGATGGTGATCCCTCCACTCCCCTGATGAGAAGCTTCAGACAACTGGTTCTGTACATTTACCTCCGCATCCATCAAAGGGTGCACTCAGCTGTAGGTGCTGCTACAGCACCCAGAGCTGTGTGAAAGATGACCATCTGATCTCTGACACTCATGGCATTACATTAAATGTTGCATGAAATAAATGCCATATTGATGCCTCTCTTTCTAAGGATGTATATTTAAAAAATTATAAAGTCAGTGTAGCTTATTGTAAAGTTAAAATAATAAAAAAGGATTGTCTTACATAATTCTAGCACCAAAACACATTGATTGATTTTTGATATGTTTCTCTTTGGCCATATGTATACACACTTTTAAGTGTTGTCATGGTGTTTATGCTGTTTTCTAATATAATTTTTCACTTATTGTCATGTACATTTTTCTGTTAATATACAGTCTTCATGATTATAATTTATAAGGATGCAGAAGTTCCTTGAGTGGACATACCATAATTTTATTCAGTAACCAGTTTTGCTACTGTTAGAATGCTTAAACTGCTCCTATTTTTTGGCATTTATAAAGATTTACATTTAAGACTAACAGTAGTACTGGTGGTGATGAAATCTTTCCTTGGGGACTTCCTCAACTAGACTTCAGGCTTCTTTGTAAACAGAGGTATCATGATCCAAAATTGCTATGTGTTTAGGTGTCCTACCTTTAGAAGAGTGCTTCTCTGTTTGTGATGAAATCTCACTGTTGTTCTTCTAGTTTCCAATCTGTCATAGACCAGCTCTTCTTTAAAAACACAAAAACTGAAAAGTGGAAAAATGAACGAGAGACATACAAAACACAAGCCCACAGTTTTTGTTAGATTCAATAGGCATAAGTCACTATGCCAAATTGTTACCAAAGTGTTTATTAGCAAGTTACTCTTCACATTTCAGTACTTAAATTGTAGAGGACTGGTTCACCACAGGTTGGAACCTGGCACCAGCCCTTAGATCACACTCTACATATACTTCTTCAGGACACCACATCACCCCAGTCTTCATCCCCTCTTGATGATCACTGTCAGCCACTTTGTTCCTATAGTTTCCTTCAGTTTTAGCAGCCTGTCATCTCAATAGCCTTTTGTTACCATCTGAACCTTCACTTCCCTTCTCATTCTTGTTTTTAAATGTACTGTCTCTTCTCTATTGATTCCTTTTTTTATTGCTCTTTCTATGGCAGATTTTAGCCTTTCCTCCGTCTTCATCCCTCAGCAAGGTGGATAGTCATACTCCTCCCATCACACCTGGCCAAAACCATGTCATAGACTTCAGTGTTGTTTTCACTTGAGAACACTTGGATTTTGGTAATCACAGAACTTCTCTTAGTCTGAGGAACCTTTCTCTAGCCTTGATTTTACTGCCATTTTAAGATACTTCACCACCTCCTTCAGTAGTTCTCATTGCCCTAGACCTCTGCCTTGGGCCATTGACTTTCAGCTGTTTGCTATTACAGACTGCTTTTCTAAGTGTGTGTTCATCTAACTCTTAATTTATCTTTCTAAAGCTCTTGACCTTCTTATAACTTTCCAGATTTTCCACCATCATAATGTAATCTCAAGCTCAATATTATCTTGTCACTTGTACATATGATAAAAACTAAATATCCAGGATAATCTACATGATAATTCTTTTTATTTTTATAAGAATAATGGGGCAAGTGCAGGAAGTTAGAACTAAACTTGGTGGGCAGAATATCTTTAGTCTGGCCCCTGTTTAAAAATCATTACACATTTGGGAATTCCCTGGCAGTCTTGTGGTTAGGACTCCATGCTTTCACTGATGAGGATTCAGTCCCGGGTCAGAGAACCAAGATCCCACAAGCCAGTAGCACTGCTAACAGATAAATAAAAATTATTACATTTTATGTGTCTAAGGTACTTTTTTTCTCATTTGATTTTTGTGACTTTCAGGGATCCTGGTTATTGCTAGTCTATACCTAGGGCAACTGAGGCCTAGAGTGATGTGCCCTGGGTGAAGCAGGTAATAGTGACAGAGCTGGGCTAGAGCGCAGATGTTCTGACTGTAGTCCAGTACATACGAGACACCATCCAGGAAAAGGGTCTTAGGATTATTGTAAGATCCTTTATTATTAGGATTATTATAGTAGTCTTTGGAAATTATTGTAGTTCTGGAAAACCTCACCCAGGTTCTTCCACAGTTCATTAGAAGCAGAACAGGAAATGTAATGTTGCCCATGAGGAAAACCTGTGAGATGTGTCATTTTTCCCCCTTTTCTTCCTTTCTCAACTTAGAAGGGAACTGAGCTAAGAAAGGTCCAAGACAAGACAAATTTTTATGGAGTCGGGATCAGTTTTATACATGAACAGCCTAAAATGCCTGGAACTCTTTAGTCAGGAAAGGGAGCTGAAGCATACATACCTTTAGGCAAAGTCTGTGTAGCACTGAAAAGTGGGGACAATAAAAGCACAGATTTATTCACCTCATCTCAATTTGAATGAACCCCTTGAATATGAGGATTATCAGAGAACAAAAAAGAAATAAGAATTTGTATAAGAAACATAAACATGTCATCCTTTCTTCAAGTTGTATAGCTTCAAAATAGATTTTTTTCAGACTTTTAATAAATTCATGTGTGTTAAAAGCTGTGAATTTATTAAATAATCTGGATGCTTCCACAGTGATCATAACTATCATGGTCTTCCATGCAAATGTCTCTTGGTGCCACCATTGAAACAGAGGACCGCTGAGATCCAGAGAGCCACTTCTCAGCTCACGTTTCCATGACCAAACTAAACCAAACACATGGATACCCCTTTTTTTCTCTCTACATCATTGAGTTCAACTGCTCCTTTTGTCTGATACCACCAAATCTTTAATCAAGATAATTCGTGAGTCAACTTTTATAATCTTTTTTTTTTTGCTGATCTCCTAGTTTCCAGTGACTGCAGTCTTTGTGCACATGGTTCCCCGGTGATATTTCATGTTGTTTGTGTCGGCCACAGCACACTGCTACCCACAGAGTCTTTCAGTGAGGTTTTCACAAAATGGTCGCATGCCTTCTATTTGCTGTCTCTAGAATGTTCTGCCATCTACACACTTTGCACCCATTGGGACTCCTTTCACTCTCTACAGGCACTTTTATTTTTTCCTAGTCCCACCTTCCTCCCTCTCTTTTCCACTTCTAGGTCTTGTTCCAGGTTCCTTGAGTCCTTGCATCAACTTCATTTTTGTTTACCATGCCATTCTCTTGTCATTCTCAAAATCAGGGTTTTCCGAACTTGACCGAATATTACCAACAATTGGGGGAGATTTTTAAAATACCAGTCCTTGGGCCTTACCCCCAGATTATCTGCTGTAGTTGGTCTGAGGTGTCAAAAACCCCGCAGGCAGTTCTGCTGGGTAGATGGGGCTGAGAACCACTGCCTTAAACCAAATATGACTCACCTCCGAGGACCTCATTGCTCTGAGTGTGGTTCATGTACCACCTCATCAACATCACCTGAAAGCTGGTTAGAAATGCAGATCCTCAGTCTCACCCCAGACCTCCTGAATCAGAATCTTGCATTTGAACAAGGTCCCAGGCGATTTGTGTGCACATAGCAATGTGAGAAGCCCTGCTCAGAAACCTTCGCTGATTCCCTTCATCTGTTTTCCAGCTTGGTGCCACAGTCAGCCTTTCCTCTTAGAAACCTATGCTTGTGCCGGCTATTGAACTTCATTTCCTGTCTCAGCTTTTAGATTTGAAAATTGAGAGATTAGAATTTATATTCTTCGATAATTTCAGATAGTGTTGCCAAGATGTATGGAGTTCCCACTCTGCGTCAGGCCCTGTCCCAGCAGGTGTCCTTGAGGTGCTCAGCACAGCTCTTCTCTGTCTGACTGCAGGGCTGTAGCCTTTGCGTGCCCCTCACTGACCTGCTTCCCCAGCGTGTGGCTTTGATTGTTTTTTCCTTTCTGGCCCTTGGCGGAGAGCTATTGCACATCGGAGGCTTCAGCAAGAACACTCACTTCCCCTTGGTTCTGACTTCCCGTTAGAGCAGGACAGTGTGTCAGGACAGCTGGCATGTGATCAGGTCCGGCGCGGGGAGACAGAGGAGGCTGCTTGGCAGCTGGACCGCCCCCTGAGCGCGCGCGGGAAGCGTTTTTTCCTGGAGGACAGGATAGAGTTTGTTTTGGTTGCACTTTTTTTTTTTTCCTTGTGGGAGGTGTGTGTGAGAGAGAGAAAGAGAGAAAAAGAGAAACAAGTAGAAATTTTGACCCAAGTTATTTATAAATTCTGAGCTCCCACTCTCCATAGCGCTCTACTTAATTATGAGCACAGCCTGACATCACTTGCTCCCATTCAGGCATCAGTTGTAAACTTTCTCATGCAGGGCTCCCCTTTATTGCTTTGTTTTCTCTTTAAGGCTCACCTTGTGGCCTAACTGAGTCAGTGCAAAGTGGGGTGGATGTAGCAAGGCTGCTGACCCTGTCCTGAAGTCCTTGACCTCGGGCAGCATGGTACCTGTGAGTCTTTGTGAGATGAACACAGTCCCAAGATGGCTCACGTGTAAGCTCCAGTAACATGAAGTAGCCAAGCTCATTGTACCCTAATTTTCAGGGAGCAATGATGATGAGGGAAAAAGAAGTATATCACATTATTTTTAAAATGTTTTATCAACCAGAGTTTTTGGTGCAGAGGTGGCCATCATTTTCCATGCTGAACCCCCACGCAACAGGTGATCTTGCTGCTGAGATAATCTGCTTTTCCTGCTATTCTGCCCAACCCTTCAGAGAGTTTTATGAGAGGATATGTACAGCTGTTTTCTGTTTGGCACATTACTATAGGAATGCCTGGTATTCCTGTGTGTCTGGGTCGTCACCTATTCCATTGGAGCACTGGGTATCTGTGCCCTCTATCAGTGAAACTGTAAAATGAATTGAGCAGATAGCGATGGGCCACATCTGATTGAGGAGTGAGGTTTGAGGGAAAGCTGAGAAGCTCATGCACTGAAGGCATGAAGGTGGCTGAGAGCATGCTGCGTTCCAGGGAGGGGCGAGGGGACATTTCTCAGCCTGCCTCCTTAGTGAGCTCAGCCTTTTTCCTCTTATCTTGCAGACCAGTTCCTCTCCCCACTCCGGGGTGTCCAGGCAAGTGCGAATCAAAGCTTCCCAGTCTGCGGGAGATGTAAATACCATCTACCAGCCCCCTGAGTCCAGGAGCAGGCACCTCTCTGTCAGTGAGTATCTCATCCCTTTTTTCCTCTTACCTATCTGGCTGGTTTTTTTTTAATATTCTTTTAAAAAATAATTATTAATTAAAAAACAATCATCAAACATTATTGACTGCTATGCTGTTTGGAATAATCTTCCATGCCTTTCTTTGGGGAAGAGAAATAGTGATGTGATTGGGATGGAGTCCTAACCCTTATGCTGTCATGCTGTGGTGGGGTAATCAGGTCCTTTTCAACAGCCCCGAAAAAATGATCTCAAACATCTGCTTGAGGACCTTCAGTGGCAGTGGACCCTCACTTCTGACCATACTTTCCCTAAAAGACTGGGAACTTGCAGAGTTAGAAGTCAGGTCCAAGTTTGAGTTTTGATATCAAGCCTCTTGCTTATGGTTCCTGAGGAGTTCTGATACTTCACGGAAGATCAGACCAACAAAACTACTGGAGTGTCTAAGGTGTCTGGGAGGACAGGAGACTGTTGATGTAGTATATACAGTTGGCTCATTAGAAAGATATGTAGCTGCTGCCAGGCCTTCCTGGGAAAGAAAGCTAAATCAGATCTGTGCATTATACCAGGCAGTCCAGTTTTGCTTTGGATCCCTTTTTCCACATTTGAGGAAAAAGCTCTCTTTTTGAATCATGCAATTTGTTTTAAGGGGGAGTCTGGCCTTGTCAGCATTTGCATTGAGGTTGCTGCCCTGATGTTGCTGGAACCCCTGCTGCTGTCCATACAGGTTCTCTCTGGGCAGGTAGAATTGCATCAAACTGAACTGCTCTCTGGAGATCTGAAGCTGAGCTGGCGGCAGGGTGGGGTGGGGTGGGGGGCTGCATTCTGAGCATCAGTCCTGTCATGGAGCTTGTGTGGGAATGAGAAGCCTCCCCAGGGAGCAGCAGAAAGATTGTGCTGCTGAGACACTGACTCTGCCTCACTGAGTAATTTCTGGAGCCCGAGCAAGCCCTGGTAGTAAGTGTTGCCAAGCTGGAAGTCCGTATATGCGTTTCATGTTTCCCTAGCCTTGTGGATGATTGGTGGGTATGTTTACAGTAAGCTGGTTGAGGGGAGAGCCAGCACCCCAGCAGGGAGGCCTTATCCAGAGCATCTCTGGCCCTGGAATCCAGGTGTCCTGGAACCTGGGTATCTCTGCTAGTTTGGCTTCTGTTCTAGAACCCTTGTAGAGACCAAGGGGCTGGAGCGGGGCAGCGCTGCTCCTTTGTGGAGGAAGCAGTGAGTACTGACGTTGGGCAGTGACCTGGCCTCCTGCTCCTAAGCAAGTGCCTGTGACGTGTGTGGAGATGGGGGTACATGGTTGGCCATTGTCGTAGGGACCCCAGTTGGAATTTCCTTGTCTTAGAGTGCTGAGGAGTAAAATTTCTACAAATGAGTTCCTGTCTGTATAAAGAGTGGGCAACACAGCCTCCCAGCATGCACAGATTCTGGGTTCCTCCCTTCAGCCAGCACTATATCCCAGGCTCTAGGCTGGTGTGGGGGCTATAGTGGAGGCACCTGGAAGGCCGAGGGTGGTGTGGGGACACAAAGGAGGCAGAACCAGCTCCACCCAGGACTTTGCTTTCACAGAAGAGAGGGAACATCAGAGATGACAAATGAGGGGAAGATTTACTGAGTGTGAAATGTAGACAGATATTCTGGGCACAGAAAGGGGCATCTGCCAGGCACGATCACCAAAGAAGATGGTGACTGCTGAGAACACCAGATGGTTCTGGATTATGAGAGAGACTCGTAAAGCTGGGATGTGGCAGAGGCTATGTCTGACGAGAGTGACCTGGGATGTGCACCCAGTGTGAGCTGGAATTTTAGAGGTTATGGAGGATTTCCATAGGCCAGGATGATGGGAGAGGGCATTTCAGTGATCTGCTGGTGGAGAGCCCACATACCCTTCTGACTGGGCTGATGTATTTGAAGGAGAAATAGAGACAGCTGAGAAAGGATGTCTGCCGTGACCAAGGAGCCTCAACTGCACATGGACTCGCTCTGTAGGCATTGGGCAAACGCTGGGAGTGGTGACCCCTGGTACCCATCTCTATTCTGACGCTTATCACATTATCTTATGGTATCTCTCTCCCTGTCAAACTGCATATTTACTCATTTGTTCATTTAGGAAATAATTACCTGGAGTATCTGCTGTGTGCCAGAATCATGGAAATCAAAGCACAGTTCCTGTCCCTGTGGCCCTTATATACCTGTAGGAGGTCATATGTCACTTGTCGTGACGCGACAAGCCTAATTATAGGCTCTGACCAAAAGGTGTGTGGTGGTGTGAGCACGTATAACAGAAGGATGTGACCTGATTTCAGGGCCAGTGAAGCCTTAAGCTGTGACCTAGAGCATGAATGGGAGTTATTCAAAAGGACAGGGAGGAGAGTTCCTGGCTTCCCTTGCTGAGGCCTCATAGAAAGGGGAAAAGGGAGTGCAGTGTATTTCAGAAGCAGAGGGAAGCCCTGAGGGCTGGAGAGCTGAGAACAGGGCTGAGGAGGAGGGGCCGAGGCTGAGGATAGGGGGCAGAGCCCTGAGGACTGGCAGGTAGATTTTGGTCCTAAGTGAAGAGGAATGGGTGACGTATTCAGAGTTTTATTTTGAAAAGACTTCTCTAGCTACATAAGGGTTGAAGAGCCGATCCAAGAGGGGCAAGCATGGCTCCAAGGGAAAGCCATATTAGCCTGTGTGGTGGTCCAAGTGAAAGAAGACAGAAACGTGGATTAAACTAGTGACGGTAGGTAAAGAGGAAGGACCAGGTGAGTTTGAGACATTTAGAAGGTAAAGCCATTAGAACATGGGGGAGATGGTGGGGAGGTCCCTGAGATCCATTTAGGATCAGGGTCAGAACTATTTTCATGATAACACTAAGACATCGATCAACTTTTCACTCATTCTCTCACAAATAGAGGAATTTTCCAGAGGTCACCTGCTTGGGGTAATGTCATTGCTCTGTGGCTAACGGAATGTGTGCTTGTCTATCAGTGTGTTTTAAACTTTTTGACCCTAATTTCTAATACAGTGAAATGTCAATGGGTTATAATGGGTTATAACCCCCATAAATAAAAGATCTTTGGTGTCTTCAATTTTAGAAGTGAAAAAGGGTTCTAAGATCAGAAGGGTTAAGAACCACTGTGGTATTGGATTGCATTTTCAGGTGTTGAGAGAGCAGGGTGGTAAGTTACTGGTTTATGGATCTGGCAATGCCTTTTACCAAGACAGCGATTAGAAGTGAGCCTGGTTTCAGGTGCTGAGAAGGGCATGAAATTTTAGGCAGGTTGAATTGGAGATAGATTTGAGTCAGCTAAGAGAAGACAGCAGATGAGCAGCTAACTCTGCAAATCTCTAGCTCAGAGGGGAGAAAAGCAGCGGTAGAGGAGAAAAATGGATGTTGTCAAGTTGAAGCCTAGGGCCCAGATGAGAGTTTCTAAACAGACTCTAGAGTGAGAAGAGAAGAGGGCCTAGGACTGAGCCTTAGAGATCCAGACAGTGGCCAGTTAGAGGCGGACAAACCTGTGGAGGACACAGGAAAGGAGTGACCAGAGAAGCAGGAGGGAGAGGATGCCAGGGTGGGAAGGAGGCTCTCCTGGCGCCAGCCAGGTTGGAGAAGGACAAAGAGGAAAAACTTGTCGTCTGCATCCACACGTCTCATTGCTTGCTCTGCTGCTATGGGGTAGGGCCTTCTGGAAGAGAAGGAAACAGAAAGAGAGGAGTTAAGGTTTAAGCATGAGGGATAGGAGAAGTCCTAGCCATGCAAATGGGGTCAAATTAGAAGCCTTAGTGATGCAACCCCCACCAACAGGAGGGGCTCTTGGCCTTCCTTCCCCACTAACATTAACATACCTGTGCTATTGAGCGGAAGACTGAATATGCAGGTCATTCAGCTCCCACTGCAGCATTTTCAATAATGAGGAAGTGCAGCGAAGCCCCACCCAAGTTGAGACAACTTTCTTTATTTGAGATTAGTCCTTATTTTGAGTTGAGATTCTGCCTTCTCTCACTTTACCCATTGGCTCTAGTAGTGCTCTCTTGAGCAGCACAGGTAACATCTTTCATTTGACAGTTTTTCAGATGCTTGAAACCAGCTATCATGTTCACCTTTGGTTTTTTCCCATCATAATATACATACCTTGAATTCCAGTTTTTTTTCAATCCAGTTAGCTTAAAAAAAAAAAACAACAAAAACAAACCGCCCAAACCAAAAATAAAACCTACTAGATAGTATGTTAACCCAAAAGAGAGACCCCTGGGGAAGATCTCCAGACAAGGCAAATGGAATTTCCCTATGTGAATATCCCCTTCTTTGTGTCCTTGCCTCTGGAGATTCTACTCACCTTTGAAACTGAGAGCTCGGGCACTGTTTCTTCCATAATATGTCAGGCGATGCCCTTAAGCCCTCAAGTAAAGGACCCATCCCTGCCACATCTGACTCTAATTTTCTTAGCGCATCTTAAGTGCCTTTGTCTCTGTTCTCATTCCATCTGGCTCCTCTTCTTGCCACTGCAACCTGCAGTGGGCAAGCCAGATTGCAACCCCTTAGGAATGGGTAGCTGATGAGTAGAGGCAATCAGTTCTTTTTCAAAGGGTTTGGCCATGTGAAAGAAAAAAAAAGAGGTGGGCTAGTGGCTTAAGGGAGTGGCAGAAATAAGGTCAGGCTATTTTTAGGCTAGAGATCTGAGCTTGTTTATGAAGGGAGGCACAGAGACAGCTGAAAAGGAGATTGGAGGCGGTGAAGAGGGTACCCTAGGGAGGGGACCCTCCTGCTGAGAGTCAACAGGGGAGTCCAGGCAGAGGGCTTATAGTACCTGGATAAGGAGGATGGCAGCCCTCGTCCTCAGAGAGGAGAGGTGGAAAAACAGGAGTGTTGAAAGGATGAGGTGCCTTCTAGTGACACCTGGACAGTAACGAGTTAGAGAACTGCACAGTGCGGACCTCCAGCCCTGGTACAGACCTGCAGGAGTGAACTGCAGAGGTGGTGACCACAAACACAGAGACAAAACAGTCAGCTTCCTTCACTTCCACAGGTTTTTTCTCCCTGCTTAAAATTCTGCAATAGTAGATGAGACCAGAAACTGTGTAGTGGCAGTAGCAACTTCAAAATAAAATGGGAGGTTTGAAAGTTGAAACAGGATGTTCTCAGGGTCTTATGGGATGACAATATCGAGAAGCTCTGTTCTGTAGAGCCTGGTCCAGTGTGAGGAAATGGGGATATATTGGTTAAGATTTTCCATTGATGAAGAAAAAAAAGATTGGATTCCTCCCCTCATCAGCCCCCCGAGAGAGAACCGGGTTTAGAGAAAATAGCTGATGGCCAAAAACAGCTATCTCTTTGTACTTGTAGTGACCTGCACATTAACACTGACCCAAAGCCCTAGAACTCCCTGTGGGGGCAACTTCCTGACTGCATCAGCTTCCTGACAGGAGTCTCCTATGAGAAGGGCTCAAGTCTGGGAGCCTCTCTTTCAGCTTTGAGTCAAAGAACAGAGCAAAAGACTCAGCCATATCCTGGGGTAAGAGTTTGCTCCAGCTCTGCTGCCCTGGATCAAGGAGGAGTGTGGCCAGCCGGCAGCGCGAACCCCTGTGTAGAGAGGCTTCGTGGGAAGCTGCGGCCACCCTGAACACAGGATTATCAGTCCGTTCTTTTGCTTCAGCTGGTGATGGCAGGGGGCCCCTTGGCATGAGGGGCCTGATGAGGCTAGAGCAGGAGCAGACTGGAGTGCCAGGAGAGGGTGGCCCAGGGAAGCTGCTCTCCCTGCCGTGCCCGCTGGGACCTGGGTTGACTGTATCCGGCATGGCACTGTGCTCATGCTGCCTGGCTCGCTGGGGTCCAGCTGGTAAACACAAGAGCATCAGTGAGTCTCTGCGGTCAGTATCTTGTCCTGCTCTGGTCCCTGTCTCACTCATCCTCAGCAGCTATTGTGTGTGTCATTAGCCCCTGATTTCTGAAATGAAGATAAAAACAAAACTGAAAATGCTCTGGAGCAGTTCTGCCAACTCCTGATTTTTCCATTCGCTTCCTCTGATAGCCATTGGTTTGGGGAGACTTCCCTTTCCTGCCCCAAGCTGTGGGCCTGTGCACAATAGCCCCTGGCCCACTGCCCATCAGATAGCAAGGCTGGCTCTCGGCAAGCAGCACTGTGTATTGGAAAAAGTGAAAGTCTCTGGCTGGAAATAAAAGCTCAGAAACCCTCTGCTGTTTTCCCCCAGCCCCTCCTGGGTCTGTAGTGCTGGCTTCGTGTGAGCTAGTCCCATCCCACCTGCAGAACCAGGGGAGAGTTCAGTGGTAGCTGGTGGAGGAGAGAGAATGGGTGTCGAGGGATCATGGATCTTTTGTCCCAGGAGGTCTCACCCTAGACACTCTGTTTGACAGACTGAGGGTACTTCAGCCTGTCTTGCTGTCTTGGGATAGTTTGGACCAATGTGTGGGATTTTATCAGTACATAAGAGTTTTTCTTTCTCTCTAATCATAAGAGACATCTTTTGTTTTAGGTCAAATATGTAATACCTTTTCACTCCAGAATATATTGGTCAGGGTTGAGTTGCACAGAACAGAATTCACTCTGACTAGTTTCAGGAAGAAGATATTTAAAGCACATTCTGTCTTATAAAATCACAAAGAGTGAGAAACAGACTCAATAAGTCTAAAAATGCTACAGAGCTCCTCTTCCTCATGTAATGAGGAAACCACCAGATCCAGAATCAGGGCCCCTCTTATCTGTCCACACACCACTTACATGGGGATCCCTGCACCTGTGTCTTGACATCAGGAAAACTGGGAACCACAGGTGAGGCCTCTGCTGATGCTACAGCAGAAAAACCAAGGCTTCTGGGACTGTGCCCAGAAACAGCAGGAATTTCAGGAAGCCATCTAAATCTACACAAGTGCCTCAACTGGCTGAACCTAAAGGAGACCTTAGAATTAATAGCTTCTAGCTGACTAACTCGGAGAAGGCAATGGCACCCCACTGCAGTACTCTCGCCTGGAAAATCACATGGCCGGAGGAGCCTTGTGGGCTGCAGCCCATGGGATCGCTAAGAGTCGGACATGACTGAGTGACTTCCCTTTCACTTTTCACTTTTGTGCATTGGAGAAGGAAGTGGCAACCCACTCCAGTGTTCTTGCCTGGAGGATCCCAGGGACGGGGAAGCCTGGTGGGCTGCCGTCTGTGGGGTCGCACAGCATCGGACACGACTGACGCAACGGAGCGGCTGCAGCTGATGAACTTCTGAGGCACAGGAAGGCCCGCTGGAATGGCAGCATGTGTCGTGAGTCTAACCCGTTGCCTCCTCCACACAATGAAGGAAGCAAATGGGACTCTGGCATGTGGGTGTGTATTGGTGCTGCCACATTTCATTTATAATTTCCAAAAAAGGCAATAAGGTAGAGTTCTTCCCATTTTCGTGAGGAAATTTAGGTGAGAGTTTAAATCATTCAGCTAATGAGTGACAAAGCCTGCTCTGAACCTCTGCACATCTGATTTTCAAGCTTAGGCTTTTCTCACTATACCTTGCTTACCTCTTGAGGTTGCTTCTGCTGCTGACAAATTGTTGCTAACATAGGGATTGGATTTCCACAGGAGTTGTGGGCTACTAGAATGTTATCCAAGGCCGGAAGTGGGAAGCAGGCACTTGGCTAATGTTTGTAAGCCAAGTGTTAAAAATGTGAACTGTGCTTTGGGGCATGGTAAGGCTTAAGAAAGCCATCTTTTTTCCATGGTTACATTGTAATTTTATGGTACAGTGGGGAGGGAAATGGCCAGCTGCCTGGATCTTTGCCATCTGACCCTCTGAAAAATGGAGTAGCTTTCTTATTCCCATTTGATTTCCTCTTACCTCCATCTTGTTGTTGCCTTTGAGTCCTCCATTGGCATCTTGCATCCAGCTTACAAGTGACCCTGGACAGAACAGCTTGGGATCTGAGTGATGTAAAATGTGACCCTGTGTTTCTCTTGTGCTGTCGAGGAATCCCCATATTAGCCTTGCTCCTGCTCCTTGCAGAAAGGCAGTCGCGTTCCCCCATGGGTGGAATCCCCCCAGCTCCTCTGTTTGGATTGCTTCTGGGGAATGTATGGCCTGGCCAGCTTGAGGAGAAGTTTTGCTTTCCATCTCTGTGTTGAACGGTATGCCTACCCTTTCTGGAAATAAATTATGGTCTCAAAATGGCCTTGCCCAAACTGTACTGGGAGTCACAAAGGCTGTTTGCTGGCTGCAGCACCACCGTTGAGTCACTATATGACTTTGGGCCTTGGCTTCCCCTTCTGCACACAGTGGATGAACATAGTGCACCTTCACTGTAGGAGTGTTGTGAGAATTAAAGGCAAAGCAAGAGAGCATAAAAAAGAAAAGGAGGACTTTCCTAGTGGTCTAGTGGTTAAGACTGTGCATTCACTACAGGTTGTGTGGGTTTGATCCCTCCTCAGGAAACGAAGATCCCCCATGCGGGTGACTAGAAGAAAAAAAAAAAGAAAATGACTGATTTCTTTGCTCTGTTAGTTGATGGCACAGTATTTCTAAATTTCTACTCTGAGCAGCATCAATTTCTGCCAGGGCTTAGAAAGCTTGAGCAGACTCTTTCTTCCATGGGTTGTTTGAGATCATTTGAAAGGCATGGTTTAGGCACCGCCTTATCTCAGAATTTGTAGCTGTGAGTGAGGTGTTGAAAGTGGAAATCCAGCATAATTCTACACATGTTTTCAGAGCAGTTTGGTTTCTAGCCTCTGCTTTAGAGTCAAGTGGGGAAGCCAGGCTACCAAAAGTCTCAGGTGCTTCCCACCTGCGATAACTAATCCAGGTGGTTCTTGGGGAGAGTGTGAGTTGATGCCTCCAACAAGAGATTGGAATACCAACTCCTCTTGGTGGTGAATTCATTAAAATATCTTCCCTACAAACTGAATGACCCATATATTCTGAATCAGTGACTTCGTGTAGAAGAATGAAGGAATCACTTGTTTGAAGGACGTTGAAAATAGTAGTTTTAAACTCCTCAAAGACTGTCTTTCAAAGAGCAAGCCTACCACCATTCTTTGGCTTTTCTCTTAAGGAGTTTTCTTCCTTCTTGGGGTCCTTGGATTAGGGGGAGAAGCTGCCTGGTTCAGGAAGTTTCCCTCAACCCCAGCACTTTGCTAGCAGGCCCGCCCTCTCTTCCAGGATGTTCAGAGAGCCAAATGGGCTCTCCACCACCAAGCAGATGCTGGATCCAAGCTGGCTTTGTGTCTGCTCCTCTCATGCTGTGGGTCGTGGGCTGTCCCCCGTCAAGGATCTTGTTTCTGTGCTCTAGGCTCCCAGAACCCTGGCCGAAGCTCACCTCCCCCTGGCTATGTGCCCGAGCGGCAGCAGCGCATCGCCCGGCAGGGCTCCTACACCAGCATCAACAGCGAGGGCGAGTTCATACCAGAGACCAGCGAGCAGTGCGTGAGTACAGCCTGGGTTATATATAGAGGGTGTGTGTCTTGGGAGGTGTCAGACCAAGGTTATAATGGGGATTCCTCAGTGGGCATGGTGTGCAAGTGAGGGACTTGAGTCCCATCCAGTAGCTTTTCTGTAAACCAGGCCCGCCCAGGTATGGATATTTCCTTTCTAAGGGCCAAATATCAATTCCTACCAAAGACAGGGCTTCCCTGATAGCCCAGTTGGTGAAGAATTCGCCTGCAATGCAGGAGACCCCAGTTCGATTCCTGGATCAGGAAGATCCACTGAAGAAGGGATAGGCTACCCACTCCAGTATTCTTGGGCTTCCCTTGTGGCTCAACTGGTAAAGAATCCACTTGAAATGTGGGAGACCTGGGTTTGATCCCTGGGTTGAGAAGATCCCCTGGAGAAGGGAACGGCTACCCACTCCAGTATTCTGGCCTGGAAAATCCCATGGACTGTATAGTCCATGGGGTCGCAAAGAGTCGGATACGACTGAGCAACTTCACTTTCACCAAAGACAGGATCTAAGCTACCTCGCCTCCTCAGTGCTAGACGTGCGTTTGACAGCTTTTCCCTCTTCTGTGGTCCTCTCACTGGTCTCACGCAAACTGCAGAACACCACTCTGCTCTTTGTGTACTTCCTTACAACCACCTGTCCTTGCAGCAGAGTTTTAACATATGACCAATCCTAAACACACAGGTTTTTTTTTTTTTCTTTTCCATCAACCAGCTTTTAGTTTTGCTATTGCTTTATGAAAGGTAGAGAGTATACCAGTCCAAAGTAGGACTGGCTACTTTGGGTGAACTTTTATGATATTAGACAACTATATTAGTTATCTGTTGCTATATAAAACAACCACAGGCTTAGCAGCACAAACAGCAGACATTTATTATTTTATCGTTTCCTGGGGTCTAAGATCCAGGCATGACTTCGTTGGGTTCTCTGCTCAGGGTCGCACAAAGCTGCAATCAAATGTCAGCCAGACTCTATTTCTTCCTGAGGCTTGGGGTTCTGTTCTAGGTCCACATGGTTGTTGGTCAGTGTCTTGTGGCTGTAGCATTGTGGCCCCTATTTTCTTGCTGGCTGTCAGCCAGGGACCCCTCTGAGCTCTTGGAAGCCACCTGCAGTTCCCTGCGGTGTGGCCCTCTCACTTCCAGGCTACCAGGAGAGTCTCTTGCTCCAGTCTGCAAAGATGGAGTCTCACGTAGTATAACACTATTAGGGGAATGAATGTCCTATCCACTTTGCCATGGTCTATCGACTAGAAGTGAATTACAAGTTCTACCTATACTCAGGTGAGGGAGTTATGAAAGATTGTGACTCACTGGGGGGCGGGGAGTTGGGGGGTCATCTTAGGGTGTGCTCACCACAGTATCTTACCCATTTTGATGGCTAGCTTTTTAAACTTGTGGTTCACTTCATGAAAATGTCATTTTGGCTTAGTGAACTCGGCAAGAATGAGATCTCTGGCTTCATTCTGAAGTTTTTTTCATTGAGCTTGCTTTGATTGCAAAGAAAAAGATACGTCTTCTAAACTTTTGGAATTTGCTCTTGAAAGGGGAAGTGTCTTAAAGGTAAAAGCATCCAGTAGAAGGCCAGCACCAACACATGGGGGGTTTACCAAAAAAACCGATTCTTACAACTTTTCCTAAAACTGATTCTTATGACTTTTCCAGCATTGTTTCACTTGTACAGGCTATGAGAAGCAGTTTTACATTGCTTCTGCTCTCTTCTGTAGTCCTGCCTTCCAGATAAATTGATGTTTAGAACAGTGACCTAGAGTACTTTTATCTGCAGAGTCCTCTCTTGGTTATCTTACTGACCATCCTTTCCTTTTTCTCTAACCAGAGTGCTTCCGGACATCAGCTGTACGAGGGGTAACTTGGGTGTAAAGCCTCAGAGGTTGTTAATGAGTTTGACTGCCTTTGCTCTCTGTCCTTCCCCATGGTCCTATATCCTGGTCCTTTTACTTCTTTCCGTTACCTTCATGGCCCTGGAAGGCATGGGAGTATTAGACTTGTAGTGAGGAGAGGCCTTTAGGAAGAGGCCATGGAAGGTGGCAGCAGGGCAATGACTAGGTCCTTCCTCAGTGCCCGCATCTTTAGTGGAAAATTGCTGCTGGTAATGGGCCATTCAAGATAAATCTACTCAACAGAGACCAAAACAGCATGGTATGTAGTGAAAGAATATCCAACTGGGACTTTCTTGAAAAGTGGAACTAAGATAAGTTTGTTTTATTTTTTCTTTAATCAGATTTGAGTAATGGCTGCATCTATTTGCTAATTTTCAGAATGAACAAAGCATGGTTCAGGCTAGGTGTTTTTTTTTGGCTTGATTTTTATAACCGAATTTTGCTAATGCAACGTAACTTTCTTCCCTTTGACTTCTGCAGCACTGTTATAAAGAGGGTGGTTTTTTTTGGCCGAGCAGCATATGGGATAATAGTTCCATTGGAGATCGAACCCATGCCCCCTGCAGCGAAAGCACGGAGTCTCAACCACGGGACCACCAGGGCAAGTCCCTAAAAGAGGGTCCTTTTTAAAAAAAAAAAAAACAGCAAAAAACAGAAACCTTCACGGGGTTCACTGTGTTTTCCAATGGCCTCTCTTGAACCTTTGGTATTCTTCCTCCTTCATCACACCTGTCATGTTGTTATTCTTGCTCATTTTCTCTTCTGTTATCTGATCTAACTTTGCCAAATATGTACTTTCTGGATTGGGAGCAATTCTTTCCCATGTTGGTTTTATCCACTTGGGGAAATCCTATCTCCTTAGCAAGATTTGGGGGATTTTACTTTGCAATTAATTTGCCTTGATTGGCAGTTTAAGAAAAGTCACATATGACAATATACGGGTGAAATTATAGGTGAGATGGTCTCCAGCATTAAATGGGAAGAGATCATTTGACTTGGAAACCAATTTTATAAAAGTTGTTCATGGATTTTCATAGTTCTGATATTCTGCTTCCCTATGTAATGCTTGACTTTGGATCTCAGATAATGAATTTTCTGACAGTGAACACACCCCTTCACTGCCCCCCACCCCCAGGCAAAATGAAGGGAGATCAGTTGGAGAAAAGGCTAATCTGAAGGCTTTTTGTTACTGCATTTGACCAAGGGCCAGAGAAATATTTCAACTCACATAGCTACCTGTTGGCCCTGCCTGAGAACCAGGAACTGGGAAACTTGTAGTTTGTGTCAGTTGTGCACTGACTTGTTTCATGACTTCAGACAATACTCCTCCCCTTTCCAGACCTGCAGTGGCTCATCTGTGAAACGAGGACACTCCTTGTCTTTGTAAATTATAAATTATGGAGTGTAAACAGAAGCTGCCCACACACACTGGAAGCCTCTGCAGGGTAGTACCGTCTCCAGCACCAGGCTTCAGCTTTCACAAGCCAAGAAAATGCCAACCAGAGAAGCAGCATCTCTGCTTTGCTCTCCTGGCAGAGCGCCTTGGGATGCCAGCCAGGCATTTTTCTCACTCCTGGAAACTTGCCTTTCAGACTGTGGGGGAGAACGGTACCTGCCTAACCATTCTTCCCACTGCCCAGGCAGAGAAAGGGCACTTTCATATTTTGGGGAAAAAAAAAGGACCTTTTGCTGGTCTTGGCTGGGTACCTGGCTTGAGCTGGGGCTGGGGCTTTACTGTATGCCTTGCCTTGCAGATGCTGGATCCTCTGAGCAGTGCTGAAAACTCCTTGTCAGGAAGCTGCCAGTCCTTGGACAGGTCAGCAGACAGGTATGGGACTGTGGCTGGTTCGGGAGTTGGTGCACAGGCATTTTTGGAACTGATGAGCTGAGGAAATAGAGTTAGCTAGTGTGTGTGTCCCTGAACTAGACACTGGTCTGCAGGCCCATGTCTAGAACCTCATGCTTTTGGAGAGAAACCTCTCACTAGCGTTCCGAGCCCTCTCCTTAATTTTCCAAGGAGAGTGTTCTGTTTGTATAATTAGATGGATGTAATAGGTCACAGTAGCAGCTCACATGGATAAATGCTTGCTCCATTGTTTCCAGCACTTTTTATGTGTTTTGACTTCCCACATAATACATGCTGCCCTTGGCCTCATTGTACCCCTGGCCTCATTGCTGAGGTCTAGACTAAGAAGCAGTGGACCTTCAGTGTTTTGGGGACAAAATTGAATTATCACCTGTAGGTTTACTTTCATTTTTTTCTTTTCTCCAAGTGTTTCTGGTGGAATAAGAAACTGGGGTATAAAAACCTGAAAACAAAATAATCCAGACTGCCTGGCTTACCACACTGCCCACTTGATGTGTAATCTTACACACCAGCTGTGTTCTTATTACACTTTGGGAGGGAACAAGTGCTGTCCTTTACACACCCCATAGTCTGTGGAGCTGGTTCGTCAGTCAGCAGGGGTGTTTAGAGATGGCTTTGGCATTGATCCAGCCAGTCTCTCTCCTTGACCTCATCATGCCCAGGAACACATTTTGACCATGTCTGGCTTGGCTTAGGGCTGTGGTCAGAGGCTACCGAACAGTTTGTAGGATTTTCTTCTCTTTGTGGAACTGATTAATTGCTCACACGGGTAATCACCTTGTGACCCTGGCCAGATCTGCACTGTGTCTCTTCTAACAGACCCGTGCTCTGGTGAGTGTGGTCTCCCTCCAGGCGTCATAGAACACAGTCACAGTTGCTGTTGGCATTCAATTTGCAGCCTTATTTTAGGCTTTCCAAGCAGAAAAACAAGAAGGCACTGGTAAATGTGCCAGAGTTGTTACTGCGAACTGAGAGCTCTTCCAGGACAGGGACTGACTGTGGCTTTGAACTCTCTTCTGAGTTTTGTGGCCACGCTGGTGGGGGCGGGAGGTGTGGGGCAGGACCACAGAAAGTCTGGTAGGTGGGAAGTAGAGGACAGTTCCTGTACCACTGCCTTGAGAGTTTCTGAGTTCTGGTCTTCTCCAAAGGCACTCACACATGAGGGAAGAGAACCACTCACGGGGATGCTTGTAAAGATGACTCTTGATTCTTGAGTTTTTCCTCTGGCCCTCCAGTGGTTTGTTTTCATCTCCTTAGGAGTCAGTGACCTGGACTTACTTCCTTGGGGCCCAGCATAACCGAAGGTCAGAGCTTTCATCTTCCCTTCATGGGACCTGGAGCCATATAGACCCAACCCCACCAAATATTAGTCGAATAGCTTTGGACAAGTCCATTAACCTCTCTGTTCCTCAGTTTTCCATATCTCTAAGAGGGGAGAGTGGTGATTAGTCTGAAAGGAAGATCCTGGATGTTATTACTGTTTTTGTGACTGCCCTGAGCAAGGGATCGTTCGCAGTTCTTCTGTTCCAAGAGTGGGAGGAAAGGGTAAGATCCAGCACTCTGCCCCACCGTGGAGGTTCGGGAGCACTGGAGGGCCTCATTATGCAGGGTCCTGTCAGCTGTGGGCCTCAGACTAGTGAAGAGAAAGTAGGAAGCTTAGAAAAGGTCTGCTTCTCTTGAACTCTGCTTCCTACCATATAATGACATGTGTGGGAAGGAGTCAGAAAAAGCAGTGTGTCTGGGTATCCTGCCCTCTGACCTGGTGAGCTGCTTTGGAGGGACCCTGAAGTCTGCTATGTGATTCATTTTGTTTTTCTAGCCCATCCTTCCGGAAATCACGAATGTCCCGAGCCCAGAGCTTCCCAGACAACAGACAGGAATTCTCGGGTGAGTTCTCCAGAGCCTGGGTAAGCACTGCAAGGTGTCCAGGCAGGGCTGCCGGCAATCTGCCCTGGACGGCTCAGGGGGTAAGAGAAGCCAGGGTTGTATTTAATCTTCTGGGTCCTGCTCCTGTGAGGTCTCAGGTGACCTGGAGGCTCACATGGGCCTGTCGAGAAGCCATTGACCCCTGTCTTTCCTCAGATCGGGAAACTCAGCTCTATGACAAAGGGGTCAAAGGTGGAACCTACCCCCGGCGCTACCACGTGTCCGTGCACCACAAGGACTACAGTGACGGTGAGTGTGCCTCCGCGCTGCCCCCTGCCGGCCACCTCAGGAGGGCTGGTGAGCGCTCTGCCAGGAGAAGCTACTGGAACGGGGCGGCCCAGGTAGTCCAGGCCCCACGTTTCCTTTATTCCTGAGGAACTGCATGCAGGCTTGACGCAGTAGAGTCAGGGTTTTTTAAAAGAGGAGGATGGTATTGTAGATGGATACTGCCTCCAGGAAATCAGTCCTTTGTCTGAGGGCACGGTGTGCTCCAGGCATCGACTCTCCACTGCCCTCTTCTGCCTCAGGCAGCAGACGGAATGGAGCTTCCACAGAGGTGTAGGATTAAGATGCCAAGGAAAACAGAGCAGCCATGGATTGGCCCCACGGGTGTTGTGGGGCATGAGGGCCAGCCCTGCACTTTCCCTTTGGCTGGCTTTCCCTAAACCCCCTGGCTGCTTGCTGATTCCTGCTTTTGTCCTGATCCTCAGGATGCTTGAGACATCAGCCATTCTGGCCAGAGTCGGGTGGGAGGGAAGAGAAGATGGACTGGAGCTGGTGTTATGACCTGGTTGGCACATTTGGCCTTGCGGTCAGGGCGCTGACTTGCTCTACTCTGGCCCCTGCACCCCTTCAGGCAGAAGAACGTTTCCCCGAATACGGCGTCATCAAGGCAACCTGTTCACCCTGGTGCCCTCTAGCCGCTCCCTGAGCACAAACGGCGAGAACATGGGCCTGGCAGTGCAGTACCTGGACCCCCGAGGGCGCCTGCGGAGCGCCGACAGCGAGAATGCCCTCTCTGTGCAGGAGAGGAGTGTGCCCACCAAGTGTGAGGAGTGGGCCTGGCTGGGGAGGGCTTGCCTGGGGGATGCTCAGGGCTGGGGGCCAGCGAGTCCCCTGGGCTGTCGGGCTTGGTGGGTGCCTACCCTGGCCCATTCGTACCCAGGGGAAGAGCCTGAGGGGGCAGCAGATCCCCTGGACCTTGGTCCTCACTCCACTGTTGTGTGATGAGCCACTCCTCTCTGGCCTTTAGTTTCTCCATGTTTAAATGAAGAGCAGTCTCCTTAATCCCTGACATAATGAGCTGTCTGGGGGCCTTGGAAGTATAAAGGTGTTTGATCAGTTCAGATAAGCATTTAACTGTGATTTTAGCCAGTCCTCTGCTTATCAGGGCATGGGCCTTGAGGTCTGATTGGCCAGGGCCCTGAGCCTGTTCCAGGTGAGGGTGGAGATGCTGTGCTGAGGTATGATGACACCTGGTGAGGGGCAGCTCGGGCCCTCGGACAATGAGGTGGGATATCGGGAAATAAGTGCATGAACTCTAATGCTCTTTCCTCCTGTTCTCCTGTAGCTCCCAGTGCCCCTATTAATTGGCGCCGGGGGAAGCTCCTAGGCCAGGGTGCCTTTGGCAGGGTCTATTTGTGCTATGACGTGGACACAGGACGAGAACTTGCTTCCAAGCAGGTGCAGTTTGACCCAGACAGTCCTGAGACAAGCAAGGTACTGCCTTCCCTACGATCTGACTTCCAATTCCTCCTTCTCAGCAAAATGCCTGTCTTGTTGCATAGACTAATTGCTTGAGATGCTACAGGTTGTTTCTCCCATCATTCTTCCTCCCAAACTCCTTTACCATCTACCCCAGTCCTAGGAAGAGATTAGTTGGTGTCAAAGTGCCTAGCCGCCCAGACTGGTTTGGATGGCCAGTGCCACACAAGCAGCTCCTGCCCCCCACCTCAGCAGACAGATGCCGCTTTCCCAGCCCCTGAGCCAGGAAGGAGCCTGTCTTTGGAGCTTAGCTTTGGCTGTGGCCTTCACTCCAGTTTGAGTGGACAAATTCAGCAGTTATCTGAACTCCTTAGCTGCGCCCACAAATCCATCTCCCACCCCACCGTCTGCTGTCTTCCAGCATGGGAATGCCCCATCCCACAGCTTAGCCAGCATTGTGGGCAAGGGCCAGACAGTTGAGACATTCCCTGTTTTCTCCAGTTGAAGTTCCCACGGCACATGGGCTCCTCTGAGGCCACTGACTAGGGCAAGCTGAGCTGATGCCAGGCAGGTAGAACTGAGGCCCGCAAGCCTCGGTGACCACTGGGCCCCTTCCCAGGAGGTGAGTGCTCTGGAGTGCGAGATCCAGTTGCTGAAGAATTTGCAGCATGAGCGCATAGTGCAGTACTATGGCTGCCTGCGGGACCGCGCCGAGAAGACTCTGACCATCTTCATGGAGTACATGCCAGGGGTATGTGCCCTGTGACGCAGGCGGACATGCAAGAGAGGGACTGTCGTGGGGCTGAGGCTGTGGAGGAGGGGTCCCTTTGACATGAGTCTGGTTACCTGAGAGTCCAGAGGCTCCAGGGGAAAAGCGAGGCAGGAGCAGGACATGGAGTCAGCAGGCCCTGCATCTGGCTGCAGTGATGCTGTGGGGTGAGAATTGTCCCAGGCTCCCCTGACCTGAGGCTTACAGGGCAGCTGCACTATCCAGTAGGTACTGCCTTTACCTGGAGCACACAGACCTCCCTTCTGGGTTTGGGTCACCCTGGCTTGAGGGAAGGGCTGTCTCATACTTTTCTCCAAGCTGCCTGACGGCCCTTAGCATGGTGCCTGGCCTGCATTAATGGGGACTGGACCTCACTCCCTTGCTGAACACTGGGGGCTGGAAATAGCCTTGCCCTCTTCCCGCCTCCTTCCTGCAGTGACCGCTCTGACTCCTGTGACTTTAGGGTTCAGTGAAAGACCAGCTGAAGGCCTACGGTGCTCTGACAGAGAGCGTGACCCGGAAGTACACCCGGCAGATACTGGAAGGCATGTCCTACTTGCACAGCAACATGATTGTTCACCGGGACATCAAGGGTGAGCGGGGCAGGCTGTGGGCTCGCCATGACCTAGGAACTCGGGGACTCTCCACCTGGTTGTTGTGAACTTTCTGAAACGTGAAATCCTAATGGCTTCCTTGGGGGCTGGTGTAAAGATCAGTTCAGTGATTTGGAAAAACACAGCGAAGGGCTCTGCAGATGCTAGCTGTGGTGATGACTGTTCGCTGCTGTAGATGCCTCCCACCACTAGCCTGTTAGCTCTGTGTGGTTCAGTTCCAGCTCACGAGGCCCCCATCCTACCCAGCAGCCCTTTGGACTGGGAGGGAGGGACAGAAGGAGGATGGCGGCAAGTGCCAGGGGTCCAGGGCTGCAGCCTCTGCTCTTTCATGCCTTAGGAGCCAACATCCTGCGAGATTCTGCTGGAAATGTGAAGCTGGGGGACTTTGGGGCCAGCAAGCGCCTGCAAACCATTTGCATGTCTGGCACGGGCATGCGCTCAGTCACTGGCACTCCCTACTGGATGAGCCCCGAGGTGATCAGCGGTGAGGGCTACGGAAGGAAGGCAGACGTGTGGTGAGTGTGCTGGGGATGTGCTGGGACCCCCGTCTCCTGGTCTGGGCTATAGTGGCTCCAGTTTAGAAATGGGGCTGAGGGCTCTGCAGTGTGGCAAGAGTGAGGATTGGCCTCTGGCCAGTGAGGCCAGGTTGCAGGCTCCATGTGGGCAGGGGTGGTAGTGTCTGCAGCAGTACACACAGCAGATGTGTTGTCTTTTCACTCTGAACAGCAACTATTCTTGCTGAGAGCTTAGGCCATGGAAAACATCCCTGGGGTGTTTGCTAAATGCTTGAAAGAACTCGGATCCCATCTGAAGGCCTGGATGGATATCTAAGCAGTAGTAGTAGGCTTCAGTTCCCTCTCCTAGTGCTCAGATGGCCTGCAGCTGCTCTAATTTTGTGTCCATCCTCTGAAAGGGCCTGAAAGTTATGAGAGCATCACTTCCTCTTAGAATGTTACTGGGGGGGGGGGGGGTGCAGAATAGTGGTCCCTGAAGATGTCCATATCCTAATCCCAAAGGGATGAGTAAGTGTTACCTAATGTGACAGTAGGGCCTTTGCAGACATGATTTTTAAGAATTTTTGAAATGGGGAGATGATCCTGGATTATCCAGATGGGCCCAGTATACTCACAAAGGTCCTTATAAAAGCGAGGCAGGAGATTAGAGTGAGTAGTAAGAGGTGTGACAAAGGAAACAAGAGGTTGGAGTGAGACAAGAAAGGAGCCATGAGCCGAGAACGCAGGCAGCCTCTAAGAGTGGGAAGAGGCCAGGAGACGGGCTTTCCCCTGAGAGCCTCCACAAGGAACTGTCCCAAGTGGCACACCGACTTCAGCCCAGTGAGACTGCCCTTAGACGTCTGACCTCCACAGCAGTAATGCACTTAGGCTGCTTTTTTATGCCACTGGGTTCATGGTCACTGTTAGAGCAGCAGTAGGAAACCAGTACCGTTATTTCAGAGCACTTTCTACACATGCTCAGTGGTTCCCCCGATATCAGGAAGCAGCCGGGTGGGTGCAGGTTGATGAAGCCCATGTGGAAGAAGTTAACGGGGCTGTGAAACCTCTTCTGGCTGTGGGGGCCCTCTTCAAGGGTGTTCACCTCCAGCCTGGCCCATCCTGCCTCAGTGTGTTTCGAGAAAGGCACCTCCTTTCACAACTGTGTGCGGGGCGACTGGGAGCTTGGGGCTGGCTGTTGGGTGACGCAGGGGTTCTCTCTCTCTCCAGGAGCCTGGGCTGCACGGTGGTGGAGATGCTGACAGAGAAACCACCTTGGGCAGAGTATGAAGCTATGGCCGCCATTTTCAAGATCGCCACCCAGCCCACCAACCCTCAGCTGCCCTCCCACATCTCTGAACACGGCCGGGACTTCCTGAGGCGCATTTTTGTGGAGGCCCGCCAGAGACCTTCGGCCGAGGAGCTGCTCACACACCACTTTGCACAGCTTGTGTACTGAGCTCTCAAGGCCACACTGTTGCCGGCCGCCCCTTCTGCATGGGCGAGGGGCTGCTGAGGGGCTCAGCAAAGTTGGGCCATGGACCACGGAGCTGAGTCCGGCCAGCGTTGTCTGTGCCCTTTTGCTGCTGGGGCCCGGGGCCAGGGAGGGCGGCTGCAGCCTCATGGACTGGGAGCCCCCAGCCTGCCAGACCCGAAGCACCAGCGTCCTCAGCTCAGCCTGGAGGGGAAGGAGCTGGAACAGTGTGCGAAGCACCCAGGGCCCCACCCTGGGGGCTGTGTCTTGACATGGCCATCAGCACCAGACCCCAGAGAGTCTGGGGCACAGGATGGACACAAGGGTCTGAATAGTGTTACTTTCATTCAGAGTGTTACTTTGTTTCTCCTCCCCATGTCTGGAGACCACCAGGGCATCTCTGGGCTGATGAGCCCACCCAAGCCTGAGGTAAAGCCCAGCACCCCACAGCCAATGGAGAGCAGAGGCCTGGGCGGCCCTCTCCCTGGAGCCCCAGGCCAGCTTTGCCAGCCCCTGTCCTTTACCAAAGATGAATGAAGCAACTGTTATGCTGCCTTATTCAGGGAAGGAGGAGCCTGTCCTGCCTGCCCCAATGACCCTGCCCCCCCACCACACACCCTCAAGCAGGGGCCTAAGATGTGGAACTGCCCCCATTGAGGGGAGACCCAGTTCTGTCAATGCAATTGTTTGTGTTTTACAAGTTGGAGTCACTCTTATGCTGTACCCAGTTTCTAAACTGGCAACTTCGTGTGCCCTCTGGGCTCTGAGTACCCCTGCTGTGGGCTGGGGCCTTGGGCCAGATTGGAAAGAGCTGAGGGTCATGGCCCCAGGCCTTGTGCTCCTGGCTGGCACCTCTTCCCCCACTGGAGCAGAGAAGACGACAGACAATACGGTGAGGGCATCTGAGCCGGCTGGCTACCCTGAGTGGAGCGTCCCGCAGAGCCGGGGAGTTGTATCAGGCTGTCTGCGGGTTGTGACCTGCTAGGCCAGAGCTCTGCCTGGTGGAAGGGAGAGCCTGTGTGATGCCACCACCTGTGTCGGGAACCTCCAGCTCTGTTCCTCCATGGCCAGCCTCACCCATCCCCACGAGGTCTCAGCTTCTTTCCCTTCTCGCTCCCCTGGGGGTGGAATGGCAGCAGGGCTCGGGGAGCCAGTATCTTCAAGCAGCTTAGAGTCGGCCTTACTTACCTCAGCCTGGGCGCTGGTCCTTTCTTCCGGCCCCTCCCCTCCAAAATGTGCCTATTGCTAGAGCTCCTCCCTCTCAACACCCAGTTTCCTTGGGAGTTGTTGTTAAAAGAGAAAAAAAAAAAAAAAAGCCAGTGCCCAGGGATGGGTGTCTCCAAGGAGCTGGGGATTCGTGCCAGGCAGCTCATTGCCAGCCATGCCCACTCCCCCACGGGCACCAGAACAAGCCAAAGCCTTCGTTGTATGTTGACGATGCACTTTTATGAATGTAGTTTCTATCGCTGTTTTTAGCCTTTTCACATCATGTAATGTGAGGCCTTGTACTTGTTAATTTATATCTCAGATCATATTTGATGGTTTTTATATATATCAATTCTAGACTGTTACAGGTGATGGACGCCTCAAGAGAGAGAAGATCAAACGAAAGCAGCTGGTTTTGCAGGAATGTGTGTTGCACGGTGCCAGTTGGGCCTGGGCCTCTGTTTCCATCCTCGCCCCCAAGGGCCTCCATCAGGCACCCCAGCCAGGCCCTCTGAAGACAGTGAGTGTATGCTCCTGCCTCCACCTCGGCTCTTGCCCAGGGAGGGGACTGGCCCCTTGTCTCGACCAAAGCTGCTGATTGGCAGCTCGGCCTCTCCACAACCCCGTCCTGATGGCTGTAGCATTCTTCTTGGGCCCACACCCCAATCCCCAGTCCCCGACTCCAACAGGAAAGTGGTGCCGGTGCCAGATGAGACGACTCTGTCCCAGGTTCAGGCTCTCACAGAGCCCCACCCCCGGGGTCTTACCTCACAGGGAATGTGTTCTTAAAAATGAATTTGCCAACAAGCCAACAAATCCTACACTCCAAAAAAACAAGACCCTGATTTTTTTTTTTTTTTTTTGTGCCAAAAACTGTGGACATGCTGGCTCAGCATCCTCAGGACCAAGCTGTTGCTTAATTTTAATTTATTGTTTTTTTTTTTTTAATTAAATAATCCAGATGAAAAGTTGTGGGGCCTAGGATGGCCTGGCCCAAAGGATCTGAAGGGCCATCTCCTAGCAGTCCCAGGCTGGCTGTGGGAAGGGCCATGCCACCATTTGCTTATCATTCCGTGGGGTATTTCGGCCTTGGCCAACCCAACATGGAGAGGCCAGGGCTGGGGACAGTCCACTCTCCACTGCCCTCCTGCCCACCCCAGCTCTGTGAGTCTGAATTGTGGAACGTGCAGAAGAACCTGCAGCCATAGTTATTTGACTATATCTTGACCGAGGGCTTGCAGTGCAAAGCCAGGCCAGTGTCGTGCATTACTTACAATAAAAGGGATCATTTATACCCAAGGGGTCCTGTGGCAGTGCTTTTGGTTGTGGGGTGGAGGCAATAAGTGTTTACCTGGGAAAAGCCAGGTTATGCTGCCTGTCAACAAGCTTGCATCCCTCAGCAGAGAACTTGAAATGATTCCCAGAGGGGTCCTGGGCACTGCTAGCTCAGAGGTGACGCCCTCTCTTCCTCCCCAACTCCTCGGCGCTTTACTGAGGGTGGTCCTACCACAGCTGACTTCCTGAGGTGACACTGTCAGCTCACCCAACTTGAGCTTCACCGTGGCTCAGTTCCCAGGACCTCTGTGGGATCCACTAGTCCTCCTAGCCCCGGGATGTCCTTGCCGGCCGAAGTCACATCCTTGTGAGGCAGGTACTGCCACAAGCCACCTCTGCTGGCTCTTCTTGGGTGACCTGATGCTGTTGCTTAGCTCTGGGTAGAGGAAGACCAACCTCGTCCCCAGCTGAGGCCTCTGGTGCAGAAGTTAGAGCTGCCCTGAGTGAGGCGCTCCGCATTCCCCTCATGCTCTGAGGACCCAGGCTCAGAGTGCCTACTCTGCTTCCTGTTGGCTCTTGTCACTTCCAGGGCAACACAGCACAGTGGCCTATCTACCACTGGAGTTTGAGGCCCTGCTTCCTACCCTGTTCTGTGGGCACGAGGTCACTTAGGAACTTAAGGACTTGTACAGGGTTAGGGTCAGGTAATCCCCTAGGAGTCTGCCCTCTTGTTCTGCCAGTTTACACAGTCCAGTCAGCTGGGGGAAACCAGGACAGTTGGGTCTGGGGCAGGACAGTCCCGACTTCTTGTCTGTATTCTCCTGAGGGGTGGGGTCTTAGGTTCTTGTTCGTGTCACTGTAATCTTGTCCCCAAGAGAAGAAGAGCCATTTCTCTGACTGCTTGGGATGGTGACCATGACTGCCCCATTCCCTGAGCTGGAAAAGTGGGAGAGACACCCTGAAGGGGCACTCTGACTCCTTGCTGGGGAAAGGGCACAAAGACTAAGCCCTGGACACAACTTGTTGGATCTGCTGGTTCGCCCATCCCTTCCTGATTTCCAGGACAAAGAAGATCTGGGTAAGGACTCAGCACCATCACCCACTGACGGCCCGACCTTGGGCAGCACAGGCTGAGAGACCCAGTGGGGTTCAGTCCTCAAACTCGCTGAGTTTGACATGGAGAGACCTGGTTGGGAAGAACACCCCCTTTTCTCAGGCTGCCTGATAAGATCCCTGACACCCATCACCCTAACCACCAGCCCCCACCACCAGTCAAGGCCAGGAATGTGTTGGCCTGATGCTGTTCCCCTTCACCTCTGTGTAGTGTGTCCCTGCCACAAACCGCACCCCCCAGTCGGCCACATAATAGAGTCAGAATCTGTCGAAACATGTTTAAAATAGGATTGATTACAACAGTCAAAACCGGCAGAAGTGGGAGGAGGGGGAATGTGGCCCCGCCAGCACCCCCCCCAGTCCCCGTGGCTCAGCCTGGTGGAGGCTTTCCCTTCCACTGCTTCCGCACTGTGGGATGGTTCTGGCCCTGACAGGCACGCCCTGCCTCACCTCTGCAGGTGGAGGGGGCCCAGAGCTGTTCCAGTTCCCCTCTCCCTACACTGGGCCCCGGGGGACATTTGGAGAGGCCCAGCAGGGGGCACCCTGGCTCACCTTCCTCCAGTCTCCATGGCTCAGGACCAGGCTAAGGGCAGAGGTAGATGGGGAGACGTGGGGGCCACATAGGCCCCTGGGTGGCAGTGAGGGAGCTTGGGACCCTGAGGGGGCATGCTGACTCCTTGCTGGAGAAAAGGCACCTAGATAGGGAAGCTGAGTTTGAGGGCCTCCCAGGGGGGCCCTGGGGTGAGGTGGGGTAGGCTGAAAGAAACAGGAAGTAGGGTGGTGAGCAAACCCCAATCCTGGTTCCTGAACCCCCACCGGCTGAGGAAGAAGGAATCTGGGAGCAAAGCCCTGCCCCTGCAACCCTCTGCCTGAGCAAAATGGCCTCATCCCCTTTCCACCCTCACCCGGGGCCGGGCAGTCCAGAGGGGCCTCAGGCTGTCTTGGTGCCGGGGTCCACCTCCTTGTGGGCCCAGAGCTCCTTGTGCTGCTTCCGGCCGAAGCCTTCGTCGTAGTTGCCTTTGCTCTTAAACAGCTGCTGAAAGTGGGGCTTGCAGTAGAATTCCCCGTGCAGTGCCGCGTAGCTGCCCAGGCTGCAGAAGCAGAACACTGTGGTCAGGTCAGGCCAGGTCAGGAGGGCTGGGGCGGGGTCAGGGCGGGGGCGCACCTGAGCTTGGTGTGACAGTGCTTGCAGCAGAAGCAAGAGCTGTGGAAAATGAGCTTGTCGGCCACCAGTCGCTCCATGGGGTACACGGTCTTCTGGCAGGAGGCGCAGGTCTCCTTCACCTGAGCCCGAAGGCTGAAGGACTGTTCCGGGAGAGACTCCATCAGGGGCCTGACCGGCGCCCACCCCTTCCTCCCCGCACAGCCCAGCCCCAGGGCCCTACCTTGGAGCGCTGAACCGTGCTGCTGGAACCGCCACCTTTGGCTTCCTGAGGGAGAGGGCCGTGGGGCAGGGTCAGTTGAGGAGGGCTCTAGACCATCACCAGCCCAGATCCCAGGGACACTCAAGGGGGAAGGGGAGGGAGGCCGGCAAACAGGCCGCTCCTCGTCCCTTCACGCTCGGGCCAGACACCTGCGGGGATGGAGTGCCCTCCCACCCCGGCTGATCACCTACATGGGAGGGGGTGGCCTGGGCGGCGGCTCCGGCGGCCTGGAACATGGCTCGTTGGAGGCGATGGAGGCCCCGAGTGGAGACGCGGCACCCGCTGGGTTCTGCAAGGGGAAGTCGGTTGGGAGGGCCCTACAAGCCCTTCCCAGCCCGCAGGGTGGGGGTAGGGGTGTTTACAGGCAGGGGGCTGGGGGGCTGTGGTTGGGACTTTCCCTAAGTCATTTCCTGTTGCTCTGGGTCTTGCCACTTCCGCCCCTCACCCACCCCCCGCTTCGCCCGCTCGGGCCCCACGCGGCTCCCCAGGGGGCAGGGGTCCCTGAGTGGAACCATGTGTCCCGGGAGGAGCGGAGTTAGCGGGCAGCGGCTGGGGGAGGGGCTCCGCGCAGCCGCCCGAACGCTTCGCGGACCCAGACGCCGCCTGGCGCGAGGGGAGGTCAGAGGAGGGCGGACCCACTGGGGCCACAGCCAAAAGCGGCTGCCCCGGCCTGACCCCGGCCCGAAGCTGCCCAGTGCGGGGCCTCGGGTACGCTCCGTTCGGCGGGCCCAGCCCCTGGACAGCGCCCGCGGGCTGGGCCATCCGCCCCGCCCCGCCGAGCCGCCGCCCGCTCCTCCTCTCCGAACCTGCGTGGACCGGACCCCAGACCCAGGACCCCGGCGGGCCCGGCCTCAGGGACCTCGGCCCCGCTCGGGGGGCGGACGCCGGCCTCGGGACCCCGGGCGAGAGCGACAGACTGAGACGCTCGGCGTCGGGACCCCGTGGGCGGCGGCCCTTACCCCCACAGCCCCCACCTGGGCCGCCCGAATCGCAAGCCGGAGGCCGGCCCCTCCCCCGGCTTGCCCGCGGGTCTCACCGGGCCCCGGCCTGGGCTGCGGGACGGGGGTCGGTCTCCGGGGAAAGCCTCGGTGCGAGGAGCGTGCGGGGGCGAGCTGCCGCCGCTGCCAGTGGTCCCCGAGCGGCCGCGGCCGCCGCCGTCTCACCGCGGCACCGCCCCCGCCGGCCCCCGCCCCGCGCCCGCCCATTGGCTCCGCCGCGCCCGGTGCCGCCTCCGGGGCCCCGGCGCCGCCGCCGACCCCCTTTCTGCGCTTTGTCTTCCCCTCGCTCGCGTTCCCCGCCTTTGTCTGCCCCCCGCGCTGACCCCGCGCTCCGCACCGCCCCTCGGGCTTCGCGCTCGCCCGCCTCGCGAAACCCGCCGCCCCGTCGGCCAGCTCTGGACCGAGGCAGGGACCGGAGCCGAAGGGTCCGCGCCGGAGGCCTCGGGGCAGGAACGAGTACAGGTGGAGACTCGCGTGACAAATGGCGCTCCCGACGAGGCGGCGGCAAAGAATAACCGGGCGCGCCTGGGCTTTTGGCTGCTTCCATTTCCCGGCTCCGTGGGCCCTGCCGGAGTCCCCGCGCGGCTCCCACGCCCCTCCTCGGGCGCCGAGTCCGCCCGCTGTCAGGGGCGCCCCGCACGGCCGCCGAGATGGCAGGGGCGGCCGGGCACGCGATCCCGCCCCGCGAGGCTCAACCCCGCCGCAGGGAGGGCCCCCTCGGCCACCAGCCCTCAGCCCCTTCTGGCGCCTGGCGGCCTGCGCCTGCGGTGCCCGTTGCAGCGGCCCTCGCGAGGCCGCCTTCCCAAAGCGCCTCTGTGGTCCGACTTTGTGGGCTTAGTCACCCCCACTCCCGGCTCCAGCGGGCACCCCCTCTAGGGAAAGATTTCCATCCTTCAAACAAGCAAACCTGGGTTCATCCAAACCTCATTTGACACAGGGAGCGGGGCCTGAGGATTTGAAGTGACTTGTTCCAGTAACAGAGACGAGCGGCAGGGTTGGCGTCAAGAGGCTGGGCCTCCGGACCCCTGCCCCGTGGCCAAGCCGGTGGACACCGCAAGTCCCGGGTACACGAGGCCGGGAGCCTAACTCCTCAGCTCCGCGAGGAGCACAGGGGAGCCTGTCCCCGTGGCATCTCTGCAGGGACACCAGGGACTGCTGAGCCATCTGGCTGAAAGCTGTTTCACAAAGCACAGCCCTAAACATAGCTCCTGCCCACACAGTGGCAGGGACAGAAAGAGCGGCTCCACAGCGAGGCCCACACACTTGTCAGGAACAAACGGCATCGGGTGCCCCAGCCCCAGGCCGTTCCCATGGCTGCCTCAGGGCACCCTCCTTGTGGTTCGCTTTTCTCCTCAGCCCCCTGTCCCTCTTTGGAGGAAGATTTACTTTCCGGTTGAGCTGCAGCCCTCAGGCCTCCCCGGATGGGGTGCGTGAGAACTGAAACTGTTAAGGGCCCTCTCTTTTCCAACTGAGCTCCCACACCTGTCTGTCTTCAGATTCTCAAGGGGGTTGGGGTGATGTGAGAAAGGTGAAGCCCGCGGAAGTGTGGGGAGCAGCGCTGGGCTAGCCCCTGGGCACCGCCTGGCCCCTTGGCCCTGCCCAGGACCATCCGTGTGCCGAGCTGCAGCAGTTCCCACAGAATCAGCACTCTGCGTGCTAAGGATGAGCTGATGGCAAGGTGAAGCAAGCAAACCAGAGGAAAGAAAACAAGCTGATAATGGTGTGAAGAAAAGGGAACTTGAGGTTTAAAGAAGAAAAAAAAACAAACAAACTGGGCAGGAGGGTTGGAAATAAATGTGAGCTGGCCTGCTCACTCCCTCCATTTCAGGGTTCCCCACTCCCTCCAGGGTGCTGCCTTCTCCTTAACCCCTGTAACTGGGGAAGAGTTATTTGTTTTCAAAGTGGTGTTATAGTTTCTCAGGAAAGGGAAAGCGAGGGCATACGATGGGGTGAAGCAGCTACAGGGAAGGGAGGGAGGGGCACTTCCTTGGTCTGACATTTGAAGAGCCAGAGCTCGCTAGAGGGGCACCCACCCCGTGGGATGGGGATGGGTAGGGGAAGGGGCCTGGCCAGGGTGCATGCAGGCCAGGAGGAAGCACCGTGGAGGAGACCCAGGTCATCCTGACCCCTGGCCCAGACGGAGGGGAGGACCAGGTCTGGGTCTTAGGTTACCTGCTCTCTGAGTATTAGTTTCCAAGGTAAGGAGACACCACGAGTCCTGTTGCAAAACAATCCCATTCACCTCCTTTCCTGCCAAAAGGGAGCCTCTTCTGCCTGGCCTCCGCTGGCCCAGACGTGGTCCTAAGGCAGGGCCAGCACTCAGACCTCAGACCCTTCCTGCTCCAAAGTGTTTTGATAGCTACAGGCCAAAATGGTCCCAACATCAGATAGTTAGACAAATCTATCATGGGTTTGAAATGAAATGTGTATTGTAAGGCTGTCTTATGAAGGAGGTCACTGCTATGGCTCCATGGGCATGCATGGAAATGCTCTCAGATGGCAGAAGCCAGGGCGGGATGACTTGTGTCTGAGCCTGCGTGGCCAATGCACAATGATGTCACTCTCCAGTGGATTCTCTGGAACTTTTTAATTTGTTCTGGCAACGAAACTAACATGGCATAAGAACTTAAGCCCCTCAGGCTGGGCAGCACCAAGGCAGCCAGCAGCATTCTCAGTTAGATGGACTCCTGGTGGGAAAGGAAGGAGCTACCCAGATGAACCAAGGGAAGGTTTCTGGGGTCAGGGGCCGAGTGAAAGGAGGATGGACCACCCCAGCCTTAATCTAGTGCTTAAAGAGAAAAAAATACCCTGTCCTTCAGTTATTAGGGAGACCTGGGGAAACGGTTGGGCGGGGGGGGGTCCCTCCATGAACCTATAGGATCTGAGAGTAGGGGAGAAGAATGGAACTAGGCTGATGAGAGAGCCGGCATGGGAATAAGTCACACAGCTCCCCAGGCGAGTCTAACCCTGGGCTTGAACTTCACAGCCCCCACGGCCAGAATAGGACAATGTCTCTTCCTTCTGCAGAGGTCAGGTCGCCTGAGCTCATAGGACAGGGAATGTTAGATTTCTGGCCCCTCCCGATCCCTGGGTGTTGGGGCTCCCTTGTGTCTCAGAAGCCTTGAAGCAGTAAAGTTTCTCTCCAAGAGTTGCCTTTCCAGTCCCTAAGCAGCCAACTCTCCTGGTGGAAATGTCCTTTCTGCCTCATCTGCCCTCAGGAGGGTGGCAATGTGGCCAGCCCTCGGGAAGGGTCCCAGAGGCGCACGCAGCCCAGGATGGAGAACATGCACCTTCTTCAGAGGCTCAGAACTCCCAGTCATCCACCTCCAGCTCTTCCAGGTTTGTTACCAGGCCGAAGATCCCACTGTGATCCTGAGACTGTCTGCCTTCAAAAGTAGTGATGGGGGTGACAGGTCGGAGTAACTCAGGCAGAGCCTCCGAGGCACGTCGTTTGATCTGGGGAAGGAGAGAGAGTTGCGGGTGGATCCTGTTGCTTTGAGCCTCAGGACATGGTGGGGCAAGGGACCATGGCTCAGGAACAGACAGGCTGCTGCAGGCAGCAGGGGAGAGGAAGGATCAGCGCCTTTAATGGGCTTTAGAAACATGGTCATGTCTGACCCTTCGGGAAAATGAAAGTGTTAGTCACGCGCTGACTCTTGCCACCCTATGGACTGTAGCCTGCAAGGCTCCTCTGTCCATGGAATTCTCCAGGCAAGAATGCTGGAGTGGGTAGCTATTCCCTTCTCCAGGGGATCTTCCGACCCAAGGACTGAACCCGGGTCTCCCACCCTGCAGGCAGATTCTTTACCATTTGAGCCTCCTCCAGGGAGGAGACACTATCTAAAGACCCGAAACTAAGGGGACTGAGGGTGGCTAAGGCCACAAGCAAGGCGAACCACCACGGGCCCAGGGAGGCTACTGCACCTGCTTGAAGAACGAGTGGCCCAGGAGCGCGCTGGCACTTGGTCTGCGGAGGAAGGAGAGACCAGCATCACCCCATGCCGTTTCCAGAATACTGCTACTGCCGCCTTACCCTCAAGTGCCCCCTCCTGCCCTTGGCTCCCCAAGAAACTACAGCCAGAGTGACCCAGGCCGGCTTCCTGACAAACCCTGTGCCACCCGCTCCTGCTGTGGGGACTTCAGACTCCTCCGGGGAACCCAGCCCTTCCCAGGACAGAAGTGTCCTCTCCAGCCCCTGCCGGCTTCCCCCAAGGCCCACCCCAAGCCCGGCAGGAGCACCTCATGTCCGGGTTGCGCTGAAGGCACTGCTCCACGAAGTGGTGGAAGTGGGGCGAGAAGGTGCGGTGGTAGGGGTGGGAGGGCGAGTCGCCGTTGGAGGCCCTGGGGGTGCTGGGGGCCAGGCTCTCGCTCAGGCCCGAGTTGGCTGCTGAGCGCGAGGTGCTCATGGTCAGCTCCTCGGCAGGGATGGTGCTGGTGTCCAGCAGGCAGGGCACCGTGCCGTTCAGCTTCTCCAGCAGCATCTGGGGAGGACAGCCAGGGCCGGCTGGAGGGGCCCCCAGAAGGACCCCAGAGTTCCCTCACAAGTCCACTTTCCCCCAAACACATGAGTGATTCGGGGGCAGCAGAGACAGAAGTGGGAAAAGGCCTGTCACTGTCTTACTTTGATTTTCTCGACTCTGTACCTAGACAGACATCCACATCCTCCTGTCCAGTCCACCAGAGCTCATCCATCTGCGAGACTCACTTTTCTGAAACATGCATCTGATGCTATCACTCCTGTGCTCAGAAGCCTTTGACAATTCTCCACATGCCCTAGGACAGGAACATGACACCCTGGCCTGGCCCACAAAGTCCCTCGTGACCTGCCTGGGCTTCCTTCTCCAGCCATGCCACCTAGCAGCCCTGCAGAAGCACTCATACTTCAGCCACACATCTCCTGTCCTCAGATTCTGTTCTTTCTTGACTGGGTCTGTCACAGGCTGTTCCCTCTGCTGAAAAGCTTCTTTCCACTGGAAGCTCCCATTCTTCACCTGCTGCTGCTGCTGCTGCTGCTAAGTTGCTTCAGCTGTGTCCGACTCTGTGCGACCCCATAGACGGCAGCCCACCAGGCTCCCCCGTCCCTGGGATTCTCCAGGCAAGAACACTGGAGTGGGTTGCCATTTCCTTCAATGTATGAAAGTGAAAAGTCAAAGTGAAGTCGCTCAGTTGTGTTCCACTCCTGGTGACCCCAAGGCCTACCAGGTTCCTCCGTCCATGGGATTTTCCAGGCAAGAGTACTGGAGTGGGGTGCCATTGCCTATTCTTCACCTAGTTAATTCCTATTTGCCTTCAAGTCTCAAGTGTCCCCTCCCTGAAGCCTCCCCGGGTTCCCTTCTCTAGAGCTGCCCTCTGGCCACTCTCCAGCCGCCCCTGTCTCCACGGGGCAGGCCATCTGTGGGTTCAAGGAGAGGCTTACTCAGTGGGCACAACCCCGCCCCTGTCCCCCCCACCTCCTCCCAGGTCTAGATCATGCTCCAGGAACTTGGGCCCCAGGTAATTCTTGCCCAAATGACCCAAGTCCACTTCCTGGACTTGGCAAGACCTGGATAAGTCTCTTCCCTGAGTCCAGCTCCAAGGGAGACAATGCAGACTCCTGGGTGCATGTGTGCCGAGAAGCCAAGGGCAGCAGGCAAGTTCAAAGGGGCGTGAACAGGGTGGGAGGTGGAGAGAGGTTCAAGAAGGAGTGAACCTGTGTACACCGATGGCTGATTCATGCTAATGTACGGCAGAAACCAACACACTATTGTAAAGCAATTATTCTCCAGCTAAAAATAAGTAAATTAAAAAAAGCAGGGGGAGCATGAACAGAAGGAGGCTGAAGGTTGCAAAGGTATGGACTGGAACGTGGTAGCACTGAACCTAAGAAGTCTAATTCT